TCAAATTAATCCAAAAACTTGTGCTGTTAATTGGATAGATGTCTTAACTCCCTCCTTTCACTTGTCTTTAGATGCCGCGCTACAAGCCTGAGTACTTGTTTGGTGTTGAGGGTTTTGTCCAGGAGTTGCGTACGATGTCCTTTGTCATTGGATTTGGGAATGCCCCTTTTTATACCCAGATTCCTCATTATCGTCATGAAGAGAAGTGCCGAGTCAAAGTCACCTTGAACAGCAATAGTGAAGAGGTCCCCTCAGTGATGTTCGAAGCTGGAGGAAGAAATTACATCCATGCATGTCAGGAGGTGGCAAGGATCGCCATAGGAGAGCTCCGTGATCGCTACAGTGATCAGTTGGCCGACACTGAGTATCGCTACCATCCTCGTCAACCTCAGGGAAGTGACCGTGGCAGCTACCTTGAGACTGAAGGAATTGAGAATGATGCTACCACAAGGCATTTGGTTGAGATGCTGTGGGCTATGGATGAAAGTCGTGCGGAGACTGTGTTAGCGGCTCAAGATCGTGAAGACCGGAATCGTGGTAAGATTTGCAAGTTAGAAGACAAGGTGGATCGTTTGGAGAAGGAATTAGCTGCGTTGAAGGGAGAAGCACCGCCGCAGAAGGCCAGGGTTCGTCTCACCGCAAGGAAGAGAGCTCTATTTGTCCCTCGCTATCAATTGGCGCCAAAGGTTCGTGTGGTGGAAAAAGAAGTTGCCCCAACCCTAGCAGATCCTCCGGTCATCATCATAAGTGATGATGAAGAAGAAGGATCCAAGCGCACCCGTTCCAAGATTGAGTGGGTAGCAACTCAAGATGATGAAGACGAGCCGAATGAGCCTTCAATCGACCTCCGATGCTCGGAAGAACTAGAGTGACTTGTTAAGTCGTAGTCTTAGATCGTTGTGTTAGTTTGCTTGTTTTAAGTTTGCTTGTGTGTGTCTCGCGTGTGATTTACATCAGTGGTGGGATGTAAGTGCATGCGTTTGTTTGCTTTTGAGTGTTAGGAAGTTGGAGAGTTTAGTGGTGTGAGAGTCTTCAGTTTGTAATAATAAAACTCAGTTAAGATCAATAAAAGTTAAAGTAATTCTCTGTCCTAAGTAGTTTCCCCTGGTTTCTCTTCTTGTGCCCTGTCCATGCCAGATGGTGAATACTCGCAGCAACGGGAATGGTCCCAACAATCCCAATAATAACAATGGAGAGAACCCCACTCTTGCTCAAGTTCTTGCTCAACAGACTCAGCTTATGAACATGATGATGCAACAACTTCAGAATCAGCAGAACCAAGGAAATAACCATGTACCTCCTCAGAATAAGTTAGCAGAATTTCTTCGTGTGAGGCCGCCTGTTTTCTCTAGTACCACTAATCCTGTTGAAGCTGGTGATTGGCTGCATGCCATAGAGAAGAAGTTGGATTTACTTCAGTGCACTGATCAGGAGAAGGTTTCATTTGCATCGCATCAGTTGCATGGCCCTGCCTCTGAATGGTGGGATCACTTCCGCCTGAATAGGATTACTGCTGAACCTATCACTTGGCTTGAATTCGCCGCTGCTTTCCGAAAGACGCATATACCATCAGGAGTAGTGTCTCTCAAGAAGAAGGAGTTCAGGTCGCTTACTCAGGGATCTCGCTCTGTTACGGAGTATCTGCACGAGTTCAATCATCTTGCTCGTTATGTTATATTCTTTGTTTTGGATATGCTATTTATTATCACTGCTTTTATTTTCAGCTATGCTATTATTCATTTCCATTCTCTCTCTCTTGAGCTATTTTATTTGTTATTTATTTATTTATTTATTTATTTATTAGCTATGCTATTGTTCCTTTGTTTTGTTCCCCTATCTCTTTTTAGATATGTTATTATTCCTTTTAGATATGATATTTGTTATCCATTTTTATTTATTTTTATTTTTGAGCTATGCTATTATTCATTTATTTTTTTATGGTATTATCATAAAATAGCAATGATATATTTTTTTAATGATGAATAATAAATCGTCCTAATTTCATTTGGAGTAGGTTACATATTTGACCATGTATATTACCAATGTTTTACTTTCAACTAGATTATAGCATGTACAGTGGGACACCTTCTCTATCACATGTATGGTGGCTATTCCTGACGAGCATTGAGCCATGGACAACTCTCTAGACCAATAGTCAGTAGACACCGCGCGACACGTCATTGTCGATGGCTTGGCCCAGGTGCACAGCACCTATAGTCCATTGTCATTGTCCCTAAGGAATAATCACCGATGTATCACGAATTCACGATAACGCATGAATGAACTCGAAATACGTGTACTATATGATACGAAGGATTGGTACGGTCACTGGTAGAGAAACCATCTTTTTCGGTCGACCCAAATCCACAATAGTTCCGGTTCCATTAAAAACCGGGAGGAAAAAGGTTAATAAGAGGAAGATCTTTAGTCCCTGTTGTTGTTACCAACCGAGACTAAAGATCGATTTTTAGTCCCGGTTATTTGAATCGGGACTAAAGATAGCGATCTTTAGTCCCGGATTCGTAGTCCCGGTTAGAAAACCGGGACTACAAGGGGGTTACGAACCGGGACTAAAAAGCACTTCTCCACCAGTGGGTGTTATAGCTAAAGGAGCCAAGTGGCCAGCATGACTCTAAGTGGGGCCAACATGTGGAGCTCGAGCTAGAAGATGCATCGAAGAGGATAATTAAACTTAAGCTCAGACTCGCTAGATAGCGTGGACCTAAGCTCAAACTCGAGCGCAAACATGACATCTACCGAGGTAGAGCCCTAAGAGCAGTTACAATAGTAGACTATTAGCTAGCTACAAACATATTTTAATGAGATAAAAGATGATAGAGAAGAGCAGCAGTCTACAGATCTGTAGCCAGCTGCAGCACAGACTCCAAGATGCAATGTGTGTATGACAGTGTGACCATATACTAATAGTATAGTAAACAACTATTGTATGAATTGATTGACTATAGATAAATTGGAGCTATTAGTTGGCTATACTATTAACCTTGCTCTAACACGAGCATAGTGTCGACGGAGATAAAGCTTGAGCGCTAATGGTGAGCATGATGGTGTGGGTGAAGATCGGAAAAGCAAAAGCTTTTTGGAGGGAAAAGAGGAGCTTGAGCTCACGTATGTACTACCTAACGAGAATACTGTGGTGAGTTGCTAGAGACAAATAGGAAAAATATGATTGGTCTAAATTACATGTGTTTATGTTATTACCTAACCCAAAGTAAAAAAATATTGGCGAGATGATGGTCCAAAGTTAAACTTATTACAACCCCAGTTGTAAGACAATGTGATTTTGGAGTTTATTTTGTGGTGTTTTTTTCATCATACTTCATTTATATTATTTGCTTTTGAATCGTCAAAATATGCGTATAAAAGTTTCACCAATACTTATTATTTCTTTTAATAAATCGTACGAATAAGTACAAGCGGAGCGATAGAAGTATCTTCTACACCTGCTTTAACATTTTCCACTACCATATCCTAAAGGGAAATTTTGCTATAAGATACTGCTATTGTGTGTTTTTAGCCTTAGGACACCGCTGAGGAAAACATTTTATAATCGTGGTATTTTGCCAGTAGACACCACACCGACTAAAATAATAATTTCCGGTTAAAGAGGAGAGAGAAATCGCGTGAAATGTCAAAAAATACCCTTGGGCCCACATACCAGCTCTCCTATCTTTTTTTTTAGAATTACATAGTACAACGCAGACACTCACAACACACGCACACTCACCCCTATGAAAGCACGCACGCAAACAAGCAGACACTCACAACACACGCACACTCACCCCTATGAGCATCTTCAAAGACTGGGCCAGGCAGATCCCCTATGAACGCACGCACGCAAACACTATCCCTATGAGCATATTTGAAGACTGGGTCGGGCAAATCCCCTATGAACGCTCTCACGCAAACACTATCCCTATGAGCATATTCGAAGACTGGGTCGGGCAAATCCCCTATGAACGCACGCACGCAAAAACTACCCCTATGAGCATCTTCGAAAACTAGGCCGGGCAAATCATGGAGATTGAAGAAGTCGTCACAGGCGCATCGCTGTCGACGGGTATGTCGCCTACCACTGAAAGCACAATGCCGTTAAATCATAGAAAATTCGCTCCTATGGGAAGTTGAACTTAGGACCTAAGGTGCTACTGAGGCTATAGGCTCTTTCGCTCTCCTATCTTGTATATGTGGGGTCTACATGGCTGTGACTCGGGCGAGCGGCGGCGGCCAGTGGTCGAGCGGTGAGGTCGGGCGGCCACGGCGGACAAGATGCGGCCAATGCCTACGGTGGCGCGACCCTACAGAGGAGCAGCCTGTGGTGGCACGACATGGAGGAGGAGGTGGCCCTTCCGGAGGCTGGGCGAAGCAGCGGCTTGGCACAGTGTGACGACGTTGCCCCGCGAGCGGATTGGCAACGCTGCAGCCGGCCAGATCCGCGGCGAGGCGGCCGGCCGGTGCCGGCGTGCGGTCGCAGGCGTGGTTGGCTTGCGGCGAGCGGCAACGACGCTGAAAATATCGCCATCCACTCCCCTTCCCTTTTTCATTTTTATTTCGTTTTCTTTTCTTCGGTTTCTTCTTTCTTTTCATTTACCTTTCGTGCTGCTGCCATATGGACCCTACATATATAAGATAGGAGAGCTGACATGTAGGCCCAAGAGCATTTTTGATATTTGATTTCTCTCTCCTCTTCAACCGGAAATTGATATTTTAGTCGGTATGGTGTCCACTGGCAAAATACCACGATTATAGATTGTTTTCCTCAAAAAGTTTGTTTTTGCGGTGCCTTAGAGCTAAAACCACATAATAACAATGCCATGTAGTTTTACTGCTAATATATTGACGTGTAATCCTTTTGCGCGTTTGAAAAAAAAATCTTGTAGCAAAATTTTCCATTCCTAAACGGATCACATGTATTCGACCCGTTTTGACGCCCCCGCTTGCGCACAAAAACAAGCCGGACCCGGAGCGGAAACCGAGCGAGGGCTCTCTCCGTCCAGTCTCCCACCCCCGACCTCTCGTGTCCGCTGCGAAGAAAAGGTTGAGCACACACCTCACCTCACCTCCTCCCCCGATCCCCCTCGCCTCCTTCCCCTTTCCCCCCTCACCTCTCTGCTCTTCTCCGCCGCACCAATCCGCCCCCTCGCGATTCGACCAGATCGGCGCGAGTAAGTCCCCGCTCCATCCCGATCTGGATCCGCCGCCCCCCCCCCCCCCCGACCTCTGCGTGGTTTTCCCCCAGAATCGAATCCCTCTCCGTGGCCCGTGTTTTGGTTGGGGTAGATCCGACGGTTCTCACTGCGGCGGATTTTTTGCCTTTTGTTTTGTTTTTGGTCGAATTTTTGGTGCCTGTTTGTTCGATCCATTTGTTCGGCAGTGTCGATCTGTCACGTGGTGTGAACTTTTACCGGATTGTTGCGCGACCTAGTTGGAGCTGTTCGTATTCGGATGTAGTTGGGGTATGCTATTTGTTTCACTTATTTTGTATGCGTTGAACAATGGATTCGTTGAGACGTTGTGATTGATTGATTGATCTCGGATATGCCTCAGTTTTGTTGATGTGGTTTAGCCGTAGTAGCACCTTATCTGATTCCTGGCAGATCATGTCACGCGTTTGGGGGTAATGCAAATTTATGAAGAATTTGATAACCGTAGTTTTGTTGATGTGGTTTAGCCGTAGTTGCACCTTATCTGATTCCTAGTATATCATGTCACGCGTTTGGGGGTAATGCAAATTTTTGAAGAATTTGATAACCGTGTTAATATGTGATCAACGACTTGTTTGCTGGTATAGTGGTATGCGTTATTTTGTGACCTTATGAAATAGTTGCATGTGTTGGTCTAGTGGAGTAGATATGCGTGGGAATTTACTACTTTATCTTAAATTATCTTAAATTTGCCCTTAGCATTTATTTTTGCTGTAGATGTCAGGACCATGGGCTCAAATAACATTTGTTTATCTTTCTGGTTTACAAGAGAGAGGTCAAATTTGGATGGATATTAGTGGGTCCATAGATTTGTAAATTTAGGATAAATTACTTTGGATGTGTTGATAGCAAGGTTACTCTGGGTGTGCTGAGCTTAATTCTTTTGACCTGTTAAAAAGAAGCCCCCTGCTTTGCTTTTCATCTACTTATATTCGATTCAATTTTATGTAAGTATGTACCAATGCATGTTTAGAACTGTAGAACTAATAATATAGAATTCATTCTCACAAGTATGACAATGCAATTTAAGCAGGGGCATATCATGGCATCGAAGCGGATCCTCAAGGAACTAAAGGACCTGCAGAAAGATCCTCCAACATCATGCAGTGCAGGTATGAGAAAGATTTATCAGTGGAACCATGGCTGATTGGCTGGTAGACAGTGTGAACTTGAACGTTGATATGATAATGACTCTGTTGGTAGTAATCCATGTTTTCATGTCTGATGGAATTGTACAGGTTGTTTATAATGGGTTTCCTTATTATTGGAATATTGCGAACTCATCCAATGGTGTGGTTGTCCATACATTAATCTTTAATTTATTGTATTGTATTCCATGTTTGATTCATGCCGAAATTGAACTATCAGTGTTCTGAATGTATAGGGTTTATCTAGTACTCTTACAAGAGAATGCACAATCTTGTCAGTTGCAGTCTTGATGCCTTTGTGTTGTTGGTTAGGCAGTTGTTATGTTTGTAATTTCCAATGAGTGAAGTGCTTACATTTTAAACTGAAAACCTTAATGAATTATCGACAACAATGAACCACTGCAATTGATCATCTGTTCTTATGTAATCAATGAACTATTTTGGTCAGTTTGGTCTTGCTTACCTTTTTGCCCTTTGGCTTGTACAAGCTCTGGCATTGATGAGATCTTATAAATTTAGGTCCTGCTGGTGAGGATATGTTCCATTGGCAGGCGACCATTATGGGTCCTCCAGATAGTCCCTATGCTGGTGGAGTTTTCTTAGTGAATATTCATTTCCCCCCGGACTACCCCTTCAAGCCTCCAAAGGTTAGCAGTTAGTCTTATTCTGGGGCAAACTTTTCCTATATTTGCTACTTTTATTGAAGATGAACCCTCTCTCCGTCTCATGGATTCTCACTACTACTTCTTTTAATGTATATTGATCTTAAGGGGCAATTGTCTTAAATTCACTGTCCTGTTACTGATTACATCACTCAATATCATAAATGATCTTCGATGTTTGTGAATTTTTAGCTCTATAAACTGGAATCCCCAGCTGCACCTTTGTTTTCCTTATGTTTACTCCAAGTAGAATCATTGTAGTTCTTTTCCTTTAGTGTACTAGAGTATGTTCCTGTTTTGGACTTTCTTTCTAAGCCATGTAATGAAAATTACCTGATTTCCCTCCAAAAAAAAGGAAAAATAAACTTGTTCACTTTTGATTCTGCCTTGTGATGGATTCTTTTGTGTATATTTTTCTTTATCTCTGCTGTTACGCATTAAGTTGTGTCCTTTTTTTTCAGGTATCTTTCAAGACAAAGGTCTTCCATCCAAACATCAATAGCAATGGAAGCATATGCCTTGACATTCTTAAGGAGCAATGGAGCCCTGCTTTGACAATTTCTAAGGTGCTTATATGAAAACTTCACTAGTTTTCTTTTATTATGTATAACATAGTAATGAATAACATAAACGCCTGGTAACACATTTATCTTCTTCATGAAGTATGGCTCTTATTATTTCATTGGTTCATCTCATACAGTCTCAACTGCTACTCTTTGATCTTTGTTTTCCAAAAGTTGGAGCTGTTATTTTTTTTCTACTTGGTATTAAATTACGCCTCATGTAATAATATTAGTTTTATAGGGTTCTAAATTATTAGTGTTCTGTATGCATAGTATGATACCGGAGGACAATAATAGCATTCAAATGGTCTTGTTTATTTCATTGTGGAAGTGGGGAATTGGCAGAATGTTAAGTGAAGCCTCTGTTCGGTCCAAAACTCTTTGAAATTTCTCTAGAAACCGTAAAATATGTCAAGAAATAGCGAGGTTCTGTTTAGCGCATTATTCATTTCTATCACAGAGTAAGGTAGGTGGACACCTTCATTTTGAAGTGTGAACATTACATTTGAGTAAATTACACTCATGGTGCATGAACTTGTGAGGTGGGTGCAAATAGATACCACAACAATGCTCATTCCGGTACAATAACTTGCCCGGCCTGTGTTAACCTAGTCCAAAACAATCCACACATGCAAAATTGATCTGATGTGTAGTACCAGGACGGCACCTATGCATGCTAGCAGTTGCTTGTAGTTGTGCAGGCCTGCACACACTAGCTCAATTTCGTATTTGCAGAATATAGCAGTCAGCAATAATAATTACTATGTTGCAACCTCTTGTAGGCTGCTTGCACTACTGGAATACCGATTTGATTTTTCAAAACAAGCATTTTATTTTTCAAAACAAAACAACTGCTAGCTTGCAAAGGTGTCATCAGGGTGCACCACGTTTAATCAATTTTGCTTGTGTGGATTGTTTTTGCCTGGGTTCGCACGGACTACTCAAATTATTGTACCGAAACGAGCAATTTACCTATTTGCACCCACCGCCCCAAGTTGATGTACCGTGAGCGCAGTTTACTCATTACATTTTAATGCTTATTCGGTAACTGCATATGTGGCTATCTTACATTTTGATTGCATTTACCAGGTGTTGCTTTCGATCTGCTCGCTGCTCACTGACCCCAACCCGGACGACCCTCTTGTCCCTGAGATTGCCCACATGTACAAGACGGATCGTCCAAAGTATGAGACGACAGCCCGCAGCTGGACCCAGAAGTATGCCATGGGATGATGAAACCCACAAGCCCTGAATTCAAACCTGCTGCTTAAATGCAGACAGTCGTGGTAATTGTCCCAAGAAACTGTTTATGGGCCATTATTTCCTCCGATTTGTTGCTGCCAGTCGTGTGTGTCAGATCCATGTAGCATCGTGTCTCGTAGCCCCAACATCAACATATGATCATTGCCCGTCGATAATGAGATAACATATGCTTGCCGTGATTATTATGGTATGGTGGTGATGCTATTTCTCTCATGTGCCACAATAGCGCCTAGCTGTGCCTTTCTCGTAGCTGGGGACTGGGATTCCTCGTACTCCGATGGATGATGTAATGTTACTCGTGAGGAAGGTATCTGCACGGGTTCTCGTTGATGCAAACGATTACAGAGAAAACAGTGTGACTTTATCAAAGGTAATTTCGTTGTTGCCTCTTCTGATCCACGTTTTGACGTCCACGGTTTCACCAAGCGTGTGCTCGGTCCTGACCGGGACGCGTTGCGGACCGTCGATTCTGGTTCCAAGCTAGTCGCGACGACGTGAGCATCAGTATCTCCGCGCTGCTGCCCTTGTCAGCCATTTAGGGCCTTTTTGAATCGTAGGAATAAAAAAATTAAGGAATAAGAAAAACATATAATTCTGACAGGAATGTAAGTATAAAACAGATGATTGCAATACACAGGAATAATCGTTTGATTGGACTACAGACCTTTTGTTAAGTTTCCTCCAAAACCTATATGCAACAAGCCATTCTATAGGAATTTTGTAGGATTTGGAAAACTTCAATCCTTAAAATCAAAGAGCTACATAGAAAAATTTCCTGTAGGATTTTAATCCTATGAAATTTCTCCATAATTGCTTTGATTCAAGGGCCCCTAACCTTCGTTGGAAAGTTGTACTCCGCTGCTCTTGTAGGTTCAAATATATAATAATAGGTTATCTTAACCTGGTGGCCTATTAGCTCAGCTGGTTAGAGCGTCGTGCTAATAACGCGAAGGTCGCAGGTTCGAGACCTGCATGGGCCACCTTTTTCTTTTGTACTCACTCACTCAGCAGCGCCATTAATCATGAGCAGAAACACAAACAGCCAAAAGGACGAGCCAACTACTAGACAATACAAAAAGCAACAGTCGAGCTCGATCACGAGTTGACCTCGAGGCAGTTGACACGATTACACGAGCAGAGACCATCCCCCCCCCCCCCCCCCGTACGTACAGTGGAGGGAGAATTTACTATTTGCCACCCTCTCAAAATGCCAGTGCCCAAATGCCACTCTTCCAAAATTTCATTCCCAAATACCACCCGGGCCCACATGTCAGCCTCACTCTCCATTCAAACAAAAGTGATGCGGGACCCAATGATATTCAAACAAAAGTGATGCGGGACCCAATGATGAGTGAGGCTGACATGTGGGCCCGGGTGGTATTTGGGAATGAAATTTTGGGAGAGTGGCATTTGGGCACTGGCATTTTGAGAGGGTGGCAAATAGTAAATTCTCCCCAGACACGTGCATTCTCACGTACCAAATCCTCAACACCCTCTTCTCTCGAATTTCGAATTTCGACGATGTTTGAACGCTTCCCCATGCGTTTCTCCTCTCCTACAAGAAAAGAGCAGAGAAAACGTCCAAACCAATGGCACCGCGTATGGCAGCAGGGACGCGAGCGACGCGGTCTCAGGCTGCTCGGGCTGGTTAAACCCCGACGGCGACCTGCATCGCCTGGTCCTCCTCCCCCTCAACGTCAACGCCTTGCTCTTGCTCAGATCGAGACGGCTCAGCTGCTGATTCCTGAACTTTTTTTTTTCGTTTTTGCCAGTGGCACACGTATCTCACCACATGCCACTGCATTGTTCACCCAGCAGAAAATTACTGTGCAGACTTTATAACAAGGCCAGCGACAGGTGAAGATTGGAAGCTTCTAGAACAGCCTGAGCCCAAACGCGTAGAATTCACGTCGTAAGCAGAGTGGGCGAATTTGCTAACCGTGACAGCGTCTCAGGCGAAGTGACAGCCAGAGAAAAAACACACGAAAATTAATAGAAAAGCAACTCTGCACAGGGGGAAGCAGGACCGGGTCTCCTCTTTGGCCTTCAATGCTCGTGCAGCCAACCGCCGCTACTCTCCATCATTTCAGTTTTCTCTCGAGTCAACGGCGGTTTGGAAGCAGCAATCCGAGCACACCCACACGCTCCCGACTCGTTTTGATTCCAAGGATTTCTATTACGTAGTATAATCACCAAACGCTTCCTCTGAAAAAGCGGTGTGTATGTGTGCTCAGCTGAGGCGCTGAGCGCTCGGCTCGGCACACGTCTTCCGCATACTAAAATCCTATTCTTTTTGCTTGCTTGGCTCGTTGCTGTCTCCAGAAAGGAAGAGACCTTTTCTGCTCTTGTTCTTCTTCCACGGATCGATCGCCTCGCTCGCTTTCGCCTGTTGCTTCACGTTTCGGAAGAGCTTGGGTTTGGGGGAATTCGTGTGATCGTGTTGATGAGTAGGTGAAGAATTCGGGAAGAGCTTTGAGAGTTTTGGCATCTGATCTAGGTAAGTTAGTTAATCTGTTCGTTTCTGTGGTCTTGTATGACTCGGTTCTTTGCAATTTCTGCCTAGGAGTTCTTGCTCATGTTCTTGAATTAGCCAGGTAGGAATGTAGGTTAGGGAGGAGATTAGGGGATAACCATCTTGAATTCTAGATGCAAATGAGTTTGATAAGTTCAGTAGATTCACCAATCGAACATGGACACATAGCGCTGCAAAACTGTAGAACGCAGAAGAAGCATGGGGATTAAGTTCATGGATGACAAATCTTGAAGCTATCGTCTCTTTGCAGGGCAAACGTGGGCGTGGGCGCGGGCGCGTCGACGGCGTCGTAGCATCGGCGACGTCGCCGGTCGCCGGCGAGCATGGAGAGCGAGCAGGTGAAGAGGCGGTTCGGGCGGTGCCCCTACTGCCGCGCCATGATCTACCAGGACCCCAACGCCATCATCTACTACTGCAGCAAGTGCCGCACGCCCATCCGAGGTACGCACGCACGCCGCACGATTCTTCCCGGCGCCGTCGGCCATTGCCGGCGCGGGTGTGTTCCTGAGTACCTGACGAGGTGTTCGATCGTTGGCTTGAGCAGGCAAGAACCCGGAGCCGACGGACGACGCCGAGTACGCGCTCTCCCAGCTCGAGATCCTCTCCGCCGACACCGCCTCCGTGTTCTCCGACGACCCGGACACGCTGAGCCGCACGTCCTCCGTCGCATACGGCGGCGGCGAGCAGCCTCCGGTGCGGACCAGCTCGGCTCCCTACGCAGCATTTGATCGGGGCAGCGTTAGGGCTGGTTCAAGAAGCGGCGAGCAATCGGGGGAAGAGAGAGGTGGCTCGCCGATGCACAGCCGCGTCAGCGAACTCCGGCCGACGTCGCGGAGAACCAGGCGGCCGATGAGCGGCGACATGGGTGCGTTCAGGGACGATGGATCGAGCTATGGTTCGGACAACGACGTCCCGACGTCTGCCGCCGCGAGCTACCGCCGCCGGGCGTCGCCGCTGACCTCCCAGGAACTGGAGGCGTCGTCGTCGTCGATGGGGTCGTCGGGATACCAACCGTCCGGCGTGTCGTCGTCGTCGATGGGGTCGTCGTCGGTGTACGAACCGTCCGGCGCGGCGAGGTCGCCGCTGACGGACCCGGCGTTCCAGAGGGACCTGCTGCAGGCGCTGGACAACCTCCGGAGGGTCATCGCCGCCGTCGAGCAGCCGTACGGCGTCGACGCGCACCTGCAACAAGCCGGAATGCCCCCGAAGAGCGCGTCCTGCAACGACGCCGCCACCGGCGGCAGCGGCGGCGGCGGCGGCGCGTACGCAGCAGCAGTCACGCGGCGCAACTCCCGCCTCATGCGCCGCCTCGAGTCGCAGCTCGTGCAGGCGCTGCCCAGGGACGGCCTGCGCCGGGACAGGAGCACCTCCTCCTCCTCGTCGGCGTCGAGCAGCCGCCCGGGCGGCGACCGGGCCAGGGCGGCGGGGCGGAAGCACCACTGCCGCGCTGTGCTGGGCGGCACGCCGTTCGTCGTCTGCGACAAGTGCTCGGAGATACTGCAGCTGCCGGCCGCCGTGTCGGCGAACAGGGCGGCCAGGCTGGAGTGCGGCGGATGCGGGGAGACGCTGTCCATCAAGCTGCCGGCGGCGGCGGCGGCGGCGGCGAGCGGCTCGACGGACCGGCCCAAGAAGATATTCTCCGCGCCGCAGCCCGCCGTTCGCCGGCTGGATGACGACGACGCGGGGGAGGAGCACGCGTCCGCGAGGAGCAACCTGAGCGGCGACCAGCGATGGCCGGCGTCGCCGGCCGAAGGGCCGCTCCACCGCATGCTCGGGTACAGCACGGTGAGCTCGGTTTTCCGGAGCCGGCGGTACGGAGAGCAACACTGAGCTGAGCATTCTTTTGATTTGATTTTTTTTTTAATTCCCTGTCCTTTTTATCAGATGGCATTGCAATTTTGATACACAATTGCATTGTAAAAATTGTAAACGATTCTTCATTCTTTTTGTGTGTGTTTCAGTGTGTTTGTTTGATTCATACAATTGTATGGTGTTAACATGGCGATTTTTTGTGTTGGTTCAAAATGTACAGCTGTACTCTCTATCACATTTGGCGCAGATCCAGTTAACCCTATCACATTTCACCATGTACATACTATTATAGATCATCAGGAGCATATGCTTCCCAAGTTCCTAAATCACCTAAAGTACGTTCGTGTGTATATATAAGTTCTTAGAAAACATTTTGAAACAGGCTTTTTACTTTGTAATAGTATTTAATTAATTTGCTTATACTTCAATGTCACACATAATAATCAGATAATCTACCATATCTATTCAGAACAATCAAGGATCGGGTTGTTGTTGTGTCATTCTCTGCCAAATGGGCCAGGAATTTGACGAAAGTGAGGCACGGGGTTGCGGTAATTTTAATTGGGCCGAAATGTGATTCGTTGGGCCCGCGCAAGCGCGCCTGCTTCTCCAAGGTCGCGGACCCGTGGCGTCTGCGTCTCGCTCTCTTGGGCGGCAATGGCCACCGAGCCTTCCACCTCCGCACCAGCCTCCCCCGCCGCCGTCGCCGGCGGCGACGACTCCCTCGAGCCATGGAGCGCGCGGGTGCGCACCCTGACGCGCCTCGGCCGGCACAGGGAGGCCCTTGCCCTCCTCCGCCACGGCGACCCCTCGCCGCCGCCGCACGCCCTGGCGCTCCCGGCGGCGGTGATCTCCTGCGCCAAGCTGCATCTCGCCTCGGGCGTCGCCCAGATACACGCGCTCGCGGCCAAGCGCGGCCTCCTCCCGTCCTCCGACGCCTACCTCCTCTCCGCGCTGCTCTCCTCCTACTCCCGCCTCCGCCTCCTCCCGCTCGCCCGCCAGCTCCTCGACGAATTGCCCCTCGCGTCCACGCCGCCCGCCACGGCGCGCACCGCGTTCAACTCCCTCATCTCCGGGTGCGCGCTCCACGGGGTCCCGGCCGGCTGCTTCTCCCTCTTCCGCCGCATGCGCGTGGCCGCCGGCGTCCGCTTCGACGCCGTCACGCTGCTGGCGCTCGTCCCCGTTGCTCCCCTGGGCATCGTGCCGCAGCTCCACGCCCTCGCGGCGCGATCGGGGCTCGCCGCGAACACTTCCGTGGCCAACTGCCTCGTGTCTGTCTACGCGCGCGGCGGCGGCGGCGGCGCCTCCCTTGCCCGCCAGGTTTTCGAGGAGATGCCGCGGGCCTCCCGCGACCTCGTGTCGTGGAACGCGGTGATCTCCGCCCACGCGCAGAACGGCCTCGCCGTGGAGGCCGTCGAGCTGTACCGGCGCATGCGTGGCCCGGAAGGCGGCGGGGTGGAACCGGACGCCGTGACGCTCGTCGGCGTCCTCTCCTCCTGCGCGCACACCGGCGCGCGCCGCGTGGGCCTTGACGTCGAGCGGTACGTGCGGGATACAATCCCGGGCTTCCGCGACAACCTGCCGCTCTGCAACGCGCTCATCAACTTCCACGCGCGCTGCGGCAGCTTGGCCCAGGCGCAGGAGCTGTTCGACGAAATGCCCGAGAGGAGCGTCGTCTCGTGGACGACGCTGATCATCGGGTACGGCATGCACGGACAGGGCGACATCGCCGTCGACCTCTTCGAGACGATGGTGTCGGAAGCAACCGCGCCGGACAGCGTGGCCATGGTCGGCCTTCTGTCGGCGTGCAGCCACGCCGGCATGTACGACGAAGGGCGCAAGTACTTCTCAACAATGGAGCGCGATTACTGCCTCCGGCCCAAACTGGAGCACTACACCTGCATGGTGGACCTCCTCGGACGAGCCGGCCGTCTCGACGAAGCACGGGAGCTCATCGCGTCGATGCCGATGGCGGCCGACGGCGCGGTCTGGGGCGCGCTGCTCGGAGCCTGCAAGATACACAAGAACGTGGAGATGGGAGAAGAGGCCTTCGAGCGCGTCGTCAGCCTCGAGCCGGCCAACGTGGGGTACTACGTGCTCATGGCGAACATCTACGCCGACGCCGGGCAGCTCGACGGCGTGGCGAAGGTGCGGGCGGCGATGAGGCGGCGCGGGCTCAGGAAGGAGCCCGGGTGTAGCTACGTCGAGCACAAGGGGAAGGTCCACCTGTTCATGGCCGACGACCACTCGCACCCGCAGGCGAGGAGGATCTACGAGCTCGTGGTCGAGCTGGAGCGGATGGTGAAGGAGAAGACGGGTGGCGATGTGGTTGAGGAGCGCGCTGAGAAGGCGGTAGCGGAGGCGGCGGCCGTGCCATTGGTGGGGTTCCACAGCGAGAAGCTGGCGGTGGCGTTCGGGTTGCTGAACACGGAGGCGGGAAGTGAGATCGTGGTGATCAAGAACCTGCGGGTGTGCGGGGACTGCCACTCGTTTCTGAAGACGATCTCGGAGTTGACAAATAGAGCGTTTCTCGTCAGGGACGCGAGCCGGTTCCATCGCTTCGAGAATGGGGCCTGCTCCTGCAGAGACTACTGGTGAAGAATTTGGTGTGCCTGGTGAAGGAAACACAAATGGGAACTCAAACTTTGGTGTGCCTGGTGAAGGAAAGACAAATGGGAATACAAGCTGGTTGAGATCTGCCGCGGAACGTGATGTTGGCTACCGGCAAACCGTTGAACAGCAAGACAGAGAAGCCGTCGAACCAGTGCCGTCCGATCTCGAGAGTGAGCAGGAAGACGTTCGGCGAACTGTCACTCAGAACCGGAGTTTAGGCTGGAAGCGCAAGCCGATGGAACAATTCCGATCGGTAGAGGAGACAAAAAAAAAAATCAAAACAAAGGCCTGAAATTTTGCATTTTTTACACGCCCCCTGATCTAACAATGATCTCGTGCAGTCGTGTGCCGTTAGCTAAGTGTTGTCAGGTTCTTTGTGCAGGATGGACATGGGCACATGGCTGCCGATAGCATAAACATTTGATAAAGAATGACTTTAAGCTCGATAATTTAATAGCAGAGAGAACTGTAGAAACTGCTTTATCTGTTCCACCCCCAAGGCCCCAACACAACTGGGATAGCGAACTGGAGATAGAACAAAAGGCAAAACCAATATATTGATGAAAACAATTGAAGGTCACTCCTGTGATGTACATATATCCTGAAGCTATCGTAATACACAATTGTGAAATAATACATTGGGCATAATCATGTCCATATAAATGATTGGGCTAGTTTACAAAATGGGAATATTCTCGACAGAAAGCGAAAGAAAAAAAAAGAAAAGAAAAATTCATCCTTGTACAACACTTGTATGACGATGGCGCTTCACATCCCAGTTGAAGACGTCCTGCCTATTCTTTGTGCGCCAAGCTTTGGCTGAGCTGGCTTTGTTCCTCGACCCCTACCTGATGAAGCTAGAGGTCTAGCTTTGGTTGATGGTGGGGGTGCAGCGATGGCACCCCATAAATCGTCACTGTTTGCTGCTGCTGGTGGCTTCAAGGGCTTCCCAGCTGATTTCGGTGGAGGTGCAGCTATCGAACCCCAGAGGTCATCGTCATCATTGTGCGACGTTGAAGGTTTGATGTCTGAAGACTTCGATGCATTTTTGGGTGCTGGAGCAGCTATAGAACCCCATAGAGGATCCTCTTCTGGTTTGGGCACCTTTGGTTGATTTAATCTTGACGAATTTGATACTACAGTTGACAAATTTGAATAAATAAAAGAAAGTAATGGCATTATTTTCAGCTCTTTTAGCAAATATGTGTATATAACAGATACAGTAACAAAAACAAAGCCTACCTGGTTGTTTTGGTTGCGCCACAGGACGTTTCTGAGCAGCCTGTATGTTAGAGAGAAGAGATGGTGGAGGCTTCTCGTCAAACGGATCTACATCATCCCATCCTTCTTTATCACTACCATTCTCTTCCTGAGTATTATCGTTTTCAATTTCACCCCACCCATCCACCGAGGACCTTGCTGATGCTGGTGCAGTTTGATCAAGAGAGCTAGAAGTGGATGGTGCATATGCTACGGTGGAAGATCTATTATCTGTGACAGTAGAATTGACAAATGATAAGAGCTCACATTCAACTGTAACACGTCATATACTTTGTTAATCCTCTTTTAAGATATTTACATTTTTCCTCTTTCATTTATAGCCCGTGATCCCTATCTAGTGATGAAAACTGAGCTTAATACTCATGATTAGAGCAATTTGAAAAAAAGTCTAATACCTGATGTGACACTGGAGGTTGCTGAAATTTGAGAGTTGCTAGCATTTGCACTAGAAACCGGACCATGGTCAGAACCTTTTCCCTTCTGAGTAAGAGAACTCATAGCCCACCTGTACATGGATATGTTTCTAATAAGTAATTCAATTGCATACAGGATCATAATAAACTGCAAAAGCATAAGATGACTTCCACACACGTAAACAAATTATGAATTCCTTTGGCTGATGGCTAACTAGAAACGAATTTACCTACAATTTTCTTTTCTTCTTTTGTATATACTGACTAGAGAAAAACCTACATTACAGGGCCCATGAAATGGGATCCCACAGCACAGCACAGAATATTTGACAAATTGGCCCCTCCAAAACTTGGTGTTCAACAAGAACAATGGCCGGTGACAACCATGGACCTCAGGATCATACATAACAGATTCTATTTGCTTGTAAACGAAGCATCAGAACTTAGGACAAGACATTATGAAAAATAGTCATAAAAAAGGAAGGTAGCATAAATGTCTATAAAGCATCAGCATGTGTAAGAGAGAAGCATAAAAAAATGTTGTACTGTGACCTAAAGATACAAATCTATGACGCAGGAAGGGATATTCTTAGAGAAGGAGCTTCCTATTTATTATTATCAAATGCTCCCTCCGTACTTGTAAAGGAAGTCGTTTAGGACAATGTTTAAGTCAAACCTTGGGAATATAAATCATGAATAACTCTCAAGTTGTTGAGTTTGAAAATGTAAAAATTATATGAATAGATTTGTCTTGAAAAATACTTTCATAGAAGTATACATATATCACTTTTCAATAAATATTTTTATAGAAACAAGAGGTCAAAGTTGTGTTTTGGAGACCGTGTCGCTGTCCAAAACGACTTCCTTTACGAGTACGGAGGGAGTATTAGAGAGGTTACCAAGCCATTTATTATATAAGGCTGGCCATATGCACATCCTATACGAGGCAGCCAAATGTATTAGTGATAGGATGAGAAACTTCACTATAATTGTCCCAGTATTCAAATAGTAATTAGAAAAACGACTGGATCAAATCAAGACAATCAACTTAAAGAAATATTTATTTCTATTGACATGTAAGATAGAGGATAGCCTATAAATCTATGAGGCTCCAATATCAAGAAATGAAACAAGCATATAGTGATTGGAACATAGGCAACATACCCAAGTAAACCAGCATTTCCAGGCTTTAACTGGATACCAGTAGCTTCGGCTGCGCTGTTGTCTCCCATAGTAAGCTACAATAAGTGTAAGTATGAAGCTATGTCAATAAATTGAAGCAACAAGTGTACAGTGCCAAAGCCATGAAAAATATATGAACACAGATTGGAGTATTTAGACTAGTGTTGCAAAAAGGATGTGGGGTATAGCTCTATGTGCCAGAGGAGGTATTTTTTCAGACTTTTGACATTGTTCTAACAGCCAAAACCATTGGAAGTCGTCTGGCATTTCTAAACTAGTGGAGAAATGACAACCGGATAAAAGTAATGGCATATCTAAAACCTATGATACAATTAGTAGCAAAAGAAAATGAAAAACAAAAGATATTTTACAGTGACAGTAAGTTATCTACCAACATATTATGGTCATAACACACATGCATTGTGTTAGCATGCCATCTAGAGCAAACCAGTAGTGTAACAAACGGTCCAGAATAGTGGATATATTATAAGCAAATAAACTGTATGACTAAATGTGCATACCTTTTCATGATGTTGTTTTGCTATTTGCAAGAATTGATCAGTAGCCTGGAAAGCCTTGGTCCTCACATCACTACAAAACCATTGGATGCCTTAGTTGAAAGACCAAAATAAGATGCATCGTACAGTTATAACTTAAAGAAAGTAGTATTGTCAATGCAAAAATCTCCCATGTTAGTTTTAACTGTCTTGTCTGTTAAACTTCATATTTCAATCCATATCAACTTTTATAATATATCCATACAGGACATTTTTTCGATCAATTGTGCATGGGTACATCTAATGCACAAAGATGTCTTAGTTCTGGAAACCATATGCTAATGAATCGTGCAATGACAGTTAGGCCAGAAAGTTAATAAGCAAAGCTTGCTTCTAAGAAAAAAAGTCAAATCAGACTGATAGCTACTAGCATATGCAAAACATTGAGCAATGGTGCTATGATTCATGTTGGAAAGGGTACCAACCATTTGAATTTTACTTGGATATAACTACTAGTGGTTAGTGAGACAATAATCTATTCTATCAAACTAACAGATCTCTGAGCCTTTAATTGCTTGTTACAACAAGCAACAATGAGAAAGTAGAGACTGAGAGCTAAATGCTGTATGTTATACCTATCTGGATCAAATGTGAGGACAACAACGTTAGGCAGAATACGAGTTGCAATCTCTGTCATTTCATAGTATGAACTAGTGACACTTAGCGCCATGATGCCTGCCAGACAAATGGTAAAGCAATACTTACTTGTCAATAATTAGTACGATATAGCATTGTAAGTAGTAAAACAGAACAACTCTACAGGGCAATGTACCAGCTGCTCGAGCAGGGGGGAAGGTATCACGTAATGCACGGACAGTAAATGCGTTGATCAATACCCTTTTCCTAGTCTGTCAAAATAGCCAAACATTGTTAGGAATGACTATTTACTTATTTAGTACAAACAGAAAATGAACTCGATATCTAGGCAAGGGAATGGAGAACTCCAGGATATATTTGTGTTGCTTTCTTTGGGTCAAAACTCAAAAACATATTTTCTAGTAATTTTCAGGTGATTATTATTTCCTCTTGTCTTTCTTTCTTTACTATCATGCATTTATGCATTTCCTTGGCCTTATACTAGCCAGGATCACTATGATCAGTAATCTCCAGTAACCAGCCAGTTTTTAACAAAGTTTATCACAGACCATGGAGATAAATGGTACAAAAAACATGTGGATTTTAAATAATTGAGAAACTTGCTGGTCAGAAATCCAGATATACTGGCTACCTATCTTAAAGTCAGCTTGCTACAGTGAAATTTCAAGGAAAATTAGTAAAAAAGCAATAAAAAGGACATACCCCATCATTCATGTAGTTTGCAATATTTCCAAGAAGAATTGTAGTGTTTGTCCTGATCGCAGGTTCTTCATCAACCTGAACACAGATAACAATGATTTTTTTTACTTTTAACTAAATTGTATACCTTCACATGTCAAACTGAGTCCATCTGAGGCATTTCAGTTAGAACAGAACATCACCTGGAGCTTAGATAGATACTTCAAGAGAGATCCTGAAATCGTACGCTGAGATAACTACAGTAACAGATTGGTGAATTAGTCATAAAGAAGCAATAATCTTCCTGAAAAAATAATACCACAGAAATTTGCAATCCCAGGATTTTTTTTTCTTTAAAAGCCCGCTGTGCACACAACCAGAGAGAGCGATAGATAAATTTAGAACACTTTTTAAAAAGAAAACTGTTAACACAGCACAATCAGTAAAAATGAAAGACATCCACAAGGATTTTGTTCGGGGTGCAAATGTTGATCATGCAGAGGGTTGGGAGGGTCTTACTTTGGGTGCCAATACAAGCATAGACTTCAAGGTCAGTTCACGAAGAAAAGCAGAAGTATCAGAGAACCCAGTGGCAACATGGGGGAAAACCTGCATTAGAGATATTTATCCTGTCAAGCATCAACATTCCAGAAACACATGCAGATGTCCATACAGGAAATGATAGCATACTTGCTCATCAACAGTTTGAGCTGTCAATGACTCCCCAAACTGATCTATGTGCTGCAAAAGGCTAACTCGGATAGCTCGGTCATTAGAGGCAAAAAGCTTCACAATTGTAGGCAAAACCTGAAAATGCCAGTGGTTTTAACTTGTGTTATAACATCGTAACACACATTTACTGGAATGACTAACGAATATTGGGTGAAAACGAAAGAAATGAAGTCAAACCTTTGCACTAAATTGGTCAGCTGGAAGCCAGGAACCCATCTTCAACAATACAACCAAGGCTGGTGCAGCAGCTGAACCAAACTCAAGAGCAGATGCCAGCACAGGGAGCAACTATTGACAGAGTAACCAACCGATAAGCATATAAACAAGAACCGGGGGAATAATGGGTTCTATTCATGACTTGAACATTACCTTTTTCAGGACTATCTCACGAGGAAGCTGCTCAGCTATGTTCGGTAGTTTACGGAAAAAGCTATCTTTCTCAACACTGTCCTTTAAGTTAAGAACTTCCATGAACTGTATGGTCTCTACTAACTTGTTCTGGAAAAACTCTGAAAATGAAGAACCACAATTGTCACTGCAGCTTATTTAAAGTAATCCAAATAATTGACATAGAATTACAGCATTAAGAGCAAAAGTAGAAGGTTATGGGCGTCGATGTAATAAGTGTCGAAATACAAAAAGTAATTCCTGAAATGATGAGAGAAAAATATGTTGAACTTACCACTGTTGTCAATAAGTTTAGAAGGGTTCATTCTACGAGAAGGGGCAGAACTCAAGAGCCTCTGGTAATCTGGAAGTAAAGACTGCAGCAAAATAGAAGGAAACCAACAACTTTATGATACGCATGAACAATGTATAGATTAGTCAGCATAATGCTCTACATTACAGACTTCAAACAGTGGAGAAGCAATACAAAAATTACCAACAAAAAAAATCAATAGCTAAATAGAGACAGATTCAGGACCATGATCGTGCAAACTAACCTTTGGGATTGAAGCAGTGTTCCGAAGGTCCTCTGTCCTGGTTAGCTTTGCACCAGAAAAGAGCTCATAAATTAAACACCCTGCAATGAGTCCAGAGATCAATATTTTTGGAGATGAGTCTAAAAACCATTTTTACTGTTAAATACTGCTATAAGAAACTTTCAGGTGCTCCTTGAATGTGATTATGTGAAAGAGATTCAGCTTAGTAACATATGACTATTCTCTGTGTGTTTTGCCTTTAGATTGTCTTACTTTCCCATTTTTTTTCTTGTTGATTACAAACAATGGATTCTCTAATTCGAAAAATATATCCTCCGCTGGGTGCCATTTATTATCAATATTTCATCATTCTGGAAATAATATTAAAGAGAGTCTATATGCAGCAAAGCAAACAAAAGCAAAATGCAAATAACAAAGGAATTCAGGTAACCATAGTTTATTAATTTGACTCTAGACATGTCTTTTCTTGGTCGATCTTGACCTGGTCTATAGTGCAAAACTTTATAGTATTTACCATAAAAGATTTGAAACTACGATACAGGCCCATAGAGAGATATCCATTTAAAGAAAATAAACAACTTTTGCAATTAAAGTACAATAATGCCGAGTGCACATCCGACAAGGAACTGTTGAACAGTTTCCGAATTGTAAAATTATGGAAACAGAACAATCAAACAAGAATGTAATGAAGGAAAAGGAGTTAGCTCTGCTTACCCAGTCCCCAGGAATCAATTGCCCATGGAGGTGATTTCCTAATTGACACCCAATCTGACTTTGTTAGCTCCATTGGCTTATATTGTGTTCCAACTAACCATTCAAATTGCTGCAAAGGAACATAAGTATGTAAAAAGAAGTATGGTATATATCTCCCTCTATCATGTTGAATTTCCCTGATATTAAAGAGTACCAATTCTTACTTTCTAGAAACAATGGAAACTCGACATACGATAACATGACAAGCACGGTGTAAAAGCATTTGTTTCAGTACATTCACCAAACATGTCCAAAAGAGAGTTGTAATAGTTCTATATCTATATATAAAGGTGCGGGACTGTGATTAAGAGACCATACCAACATGGGGCTATTAGAGGCTTCGTTGTTAGCATCAAATTCAGAAAGAACATCAAAAGCATGAAGCTTCCAATCTAGAGTTTGAGTAACAACTACGCTCGTCACGCATACATTCCCGTGAACCTGAAATTGATGATGACAATTTCAAATTTTATGACCAAAGAACTTCCAACATACATTGTTTTCGTGTGTCATTACATGACTTTGCACAAATAAGAACATGCATTTATATTGACTATTGTTCATTATCCGCCATTAACAAAATAAGAGTAAAACATCATATCAACAAAGTTATACAAGTACAAATTCTGAAATCAAATGGTCAAGAAGAAATGACACAGTATAAGCTGGCTGATTGTGATACTTTTCTCATCTGGATAAAAAAGAATTTGGCATGTAAACAAGAAGATCCTGACGATAATTTGGTTGTGCAATCTAATTCCAAGGGTAACTTATACTAAATATAAATTGATATTTTTAAAATTTTAAAAATGAGCAAATTATGCCCACCAGAAATAATTTTGTTGTGATGGAAATTGAAAAGTTCTGTGAGATAAGTAGTAGCCACATCAACAGCTTGCATTATGCGATTGTACTCCGTTTGAGAGAGAGAGAGAGAGAGAGAGAGAGAGTGTGTGTGTGTGTGAGAGAGAGAGAGAGGGGGGGGGAGGGCTTACAAGCTTGCAGTCGTTGTTGAGAAAGCTCACAGCTTTTGATATCTGGTGAAGACCCCAAGCAAAGTACTCATCTCTGGCCCATAATTTATCAGCAATAGTGAGAATAAATATGATTGTAAACAAAAACTGAGCAATATGAAATTTTGCTCTCGAGAAATAGCTACTGGCAATATGGTGCAGTAAACATGCAAACTGCCAACTCTGACAAGACTAGTGCACTAGAATTGATTAGCCCCAATAGTTCTAGACTATTAAGCAAAAAAAACATATTGCTCACACTAAATTAAGCAGCAACCGTACTCCATATCTGCACAAATATATATGTCATAATGTTAAACACCAAAGGATAGGGGAAGCTCATAATACCTCTGTGTGCCTCCCAGGTTCAGTTCCTTAAGCTTTTCTGAAAGTGGCGTAACAGGCTCTGTTACAATATAAATTGTATGCTTCATGGCAGGTCCATCAGGAACTTCTGCTTCAGTACTGTGAAGAAAGGATAAAATGTTTGGATGACGCACCTGCAATAAGTGCAGCAGGTCAATAACACTGAACTAACTTAGCAGGTGTCATATTGAGAGTAAAGAAGTCCAATGAAACCGATGACAAAAGCAAAACTCAATTGCACTACAAAGTGATATTTAAGTAAAGATGTCCACTAGAAGCAAGTCACTGAGAAAATTTAATGCGAGATGCCAAAAAAGTGGACCGGCATGCATAACCTCGTACCTAATGGCTAATGCCCAGATGGAATTTCCTGCCTACTCTTTAATGTAAGCTGGAAATCCCAGCAAAAACCAAAATCTATTGTTGCAAGAACCTTTTGGCTTTCTTATAAAGCTGGGTCAAAGGGCCTTTGGTTTTAAAAAAATGCCAATATGGCATGATATAATGCCACCATTATTGAATCTTCTCTGTGCAGATTTTTTTCCTTGTTTTTGTTGTACCCTTCTAGAACTCAATAGTATATCACCATAGACTCCATTCTCATCTGTTAAAATAAGACACTTGCAGTACAAGTAGACATTACAAATATTTAAGATCAACATTAGTAACTTACTGTTCGTAATCTCTTAACACCATTCCGACCAGCAACCAAGTGCCTGTCCTGAGGATTGCTCCCTGACAGAGAAAAGATTGACACGGGCGACCCATCATCCTGCAGAAAAGACAAGGCAACAATTATGTTGATAGCATCATATACATATGTTGTAAAATTAATGCAATATGTAATCATTTGGGGGAAAAGAGTATGCTGCGCAAATAAATCAAAGCTTGCGAAAAAGAAATGGAACCAGATAACACACTTAACAGACCTCCTAATTTTGATCAACATCACATCACAACCATCTGGGTGGTAAAATTGACGCATGAATGTTCTACACATCTCTATATTGAACTACACAAAGGCCACTATAAGTTACATACAATCCATCTTGACTTAGATCATTGCACCCTGAAAGGTCATCCATAACTGCCAAAAAGAAATGGATTATTGGTCTTTTAGTCCATTAACAGCCACCCAAACACAGGTACATTAGGCATAATTAGACATCTGATCATCCCTAGTTGAATGAGCCATGATCTCCAATCGACATAAGCATCAGTATGAGGCCTCCAATGTCACATATATCATCAGAGTGTGCTAATCTACAGCACCATTTGCAGAACACGCATGCACAAGGCATGCCCCCACTAGTCAACAAAAGATAAAACCTGACACAATCTCCAGCATCCCAATGCAACAACATCAAAAATAACTTTTATTTGGATGCTCAATTACCACCAACTGAAATCAATAACATCACTAACCATGAAGGAAACCTCACGAATAATCTAATTCCACAGCCAAAAAAAAAAATCTAATGACTAAGTGCTGACATCAGTAAGGTCCTCACTATTACCAGATGGCATGCAACTGTGCAGTGAGCAATGACGAACTCCCAGTAATCTGGCAGAAATCACAGGCTCCCTTAAACCAGATCAGCCTCAAATAAACTCAGCACTGAGCCCACCAATTCTACTTCCTGAGGTATTACTCAAGCTAATATCGACCTAACACGAGCTCCAAACCGTACCCAGGGAGCACCCACTCAGACTCGCCGTTAGAATCAGCGCACGATCAGCTCCAACTCAAACTTAGCTTGACCCGGATCACTCACTAGCTTACCACCACCGAACCGAATCAGCGGCACGCTCTCGCATATCTCCGCCGCCCCATCTCATGGGGATCTATCAAATCGATCCGCGCCCCCGATCGAGCGGTGAGGGGAAGGGAGGAGAGCGTACCTTGGAGGTGCCGCGGTGGTGCGTCCACGAGCCCCACGCGGAGGCGTAGGGCTCGCCGATGGTGTAGGGGAAGTCCTTGAGGCCCGATCCGGATCCCGCGACCACCTCCTTGAGGAACTTGAACATTCTGCCCTAGGATTATCCCGGCGCGATTCCCCCCTCGGGTTTTTTCGATCGCCTCCTCCCCGCGCGGCCGCCGGTGGGTTCCGCCCGCCGACGCGGCGCCGAGGTAGATCCGGGCGGGCAGGAGGAGGCGTCGGGTGAAGCGGAGGAGAAGGGGGGAGGTAACAGAGGGCTCGGTGGCGGGGGCCTACCTGCAGGAAAGGCGAGGAAGACGGGGGGAGAAAAATAATTTGCGTTTTTGCCCTTTGTTGGCTGATGATTTTATTTTACCTCTGATGATTATTGGACGGACAGGCTGGCAGCTCATGCATGCAAAGAAGTGATTATGTGTGGGTGTTTTGACATGTCAAATTGCAAAGTTTGCACTTTACCATGCACGTGTGTATCACATATAGAGGCACCCTGATGTAAAAAATTGATCAAAGAAACTTGCTGTGCAGGGTGCATATGAAGGTCTCTGAGTCTGAGGCCCTTATTAAATTGGAAACTTTTCTATCCCAGTGCTACTGCATACCAAAGGTAGTGCAAGAGTTAGGGAAAACCTTGTTTAGAGCAAGTTTAATACTAGAGCTAACACTAACTATAACTTCACATTAGAGCTAACATGTATAATAAGTTATTTATAAGGTTAGTTTCATTTTTCTCCTTTTTCTTTTCTCTCACCATGAATTTAATGCATTTTATTTTACAGCATATCTTGCATTGAGAGCCCACACTCAATATTTTCCTTTATCTCTCTCCTTCATATAATAATTTTATAATTGACTTTTAGTCCACTATTTCCTTTGCTCTTAGGTCCCTGCCACTCTCGATTACTTATCGTGGAGTATTTTTTGTCAGAAATATTTAATGTCTAGAAAAAAAACATGTGATTAAACCTTTAAATTTCTAACATACAGATTTATGATATTATGATATGGTACAGTTTGAAGCAAATCCACATATATTATTTCTTTTTTTCCTGAACATTTGAACATTCAAGAAATTATCAAAATTTAAAATTTTGATTGAATCTTATCCTAAACGTCAAACATTCAAGTATGTGTTTGTGTGTACTGCAATTTGCAATGTAACCTTCTCCCCCTCTTGAGCTTGGTAAAAGTACAATTTTACTAGAAAACTCAATTTGTCTTGATAAATTATTGGGCATGTTTAGTTTATGGCAAATAAAACTTGCTAAAATTTGATAATACTAAAGGACTAGGGAAGGTTGATATACATTTTTATTGAGACCTTACTACATTTTGGTAAACTTTTTAATAAATATTTTTTCCCGAGAGTTATCATATTGTGGTATGGTTATAATGTTTAGATTATGTTTGGTTTGTTATCTAAAAATTTAGTAAGGTCTAAACTTTTGATCGGACCATGCTAGAGATTGATTTATGATCGGATTAACTGCGTTCATTACAGTGATAATTAAATATTTTGAAAAATAAACTGAAAATAACTTAGAATAAGTGGTTTAAAAATACATCAGAAGTGCACAGGTATTTACATATTCAATATTTGTACATTATAATATCTATATGATGCTTCAGTTGTCACCTATTTGTACTGTAGCATCATATAACATAAAAGTTACAGTTTGTGATAATTTCACACGCTATTGTTGTAGCAAACTGAAACATGTCGCTAATGTTGCAACAAATTGATAGTTTTATCACTAAAGTTGCAGTTTTCTGAAATTTACTTTTTTTTTATTTACCACATGCTCCATCATGTTATCTACTCCCTTTGTCCCTAAATATAAGGGATTTTGAATACATGTGCAGATTCGTAGTATTAGGATATGTCACATCTACCCAAAATCTCTTATATTTAGAGACGGAGAAAGTACCAATTACATATGTACTTTAATGTTATAAAATAATCCGTGTAAATATATATTCTATCATATTTCAGATGTACAGTATAACATCCATAGGTACAAAATTATCCCAAAAACCTCAGTATTAATTTGTTTTAATATGTAGCAAAGCACGGGTATTTGGCCAGTGAAATGTGATGATTAACAGATGTGGTCAGGCATCGATGAAAATTCTATGTAGCAACTAGTACATATCACAAGCATTTTAGAAGTCAGGGTAACCAGAAGAGAAGAAGTGGTTTAGCAGAAACTGAAACATCACAACCAAAGCAGACTGCCCACAACCACAGTTGCTTTGCTAGAATCTGAAAAAAAAACCAGTGTTGCGGACCGTGGAAATTTGAATTCCAAGACAGAAGGAAATTCTAGTAATTTAAAAACGGGGTCATCCTCCTTCAGTCACTTTCACCCATCGCGCGTCCACACACGTAGCGTACGTACGTAACCAGCGGATCCAACGTTTTATCCCCCATTACAACGTTGGGGAATGTACTAATTGAAACAAAATATTACAGTAGTGAGTTAGGTGTTTTATGCGGAAGAAATTCTACGAGTACCATTTTTCAGTTTGGCCATTTCAAAGTTTCTGACTGACGATCATTTCAAGAATTTAGCCCGGCATTAAGCACATGACGATGATGGTGGTAAGATTTATACATGAAACATGATAATGGAACTTCTGTAGAGAACTAGCGATGCAATAATCTTTTCACTTATGTTTATGTTTATGTTTATCACTCAAAAATTAAATTTTCAACCTTAAATTTGAAGTCGATTTTAGGGTTTTTTTTATCGAAGTTTATTTTTCAGCCTTTGCTTTTAGATCACCAATAACATATATATAAAAATTTTATTCACAAATTAGTTCTAGTTTACAAATATATATATCGTTTGGCTTATTCGACGAGTAAACCAAACAATGGGGTTGATACTTCTAGAGGAACAGAGAAGACGATGCAGTTCACTGTCTAGTTAGTGTGCACTCTAGAACGCTCTCGGCTTGGCGACAATGGTGGAGTGCTTCAGGATGTGGAGGCTGAACTGCCCACCCTTCTCGGTGGTGTCGACCCTGTCCTTCCCGGGCGGCGGCAGCAGCTCGAAGTTCTGGACGAGGCGGCCGATGGTGACGCCGAGGATGGGCAGCGCGAGGACGATGCCGGGGCAGCTCCGCCGCCCGGCGCCGGACGGCAGGTACCTGAAGTCGTTGCCGTTGGCCTCGACGTTCCTCTCCTCCTCGAGGAACCTCTCCGGCCGGAACTCCTCCGGCCGCCGCCACCGCCCGGGGTCGTTGGCGAGGTACCACGCGTTGACGAGCACCTTGCTCTCGGCGGGGATGCCGTACCCGGCGAGCTCGGCGTCGCGGAGGTTCATGTGCGGCACCAGCAGCGGGATGGCCATGCGCAGCCGGAGCGTCTCCTTGACCACGGCCTGCAGGTAGGGGAGCCTGTGCGTGTCCGGCTCCGTGATCTGACGCCCCGGGCCGAGCACCGTGTCCAGCTCCCGGCGCAGCTTCTCCTGGATCTCCCCGTGGTTCACCCTAGCTCCGCGATCGCCCACTCCATCGACCACAGCGTCGTCTCGATCGCTGCAAGCAACATGGTTAACGAAAATAAATTAAAAAGAAGAAGAAGAAACTGTTAACTGAACCGAGGCACGCGTACCGGCAACATTGATGTTCTCGACAATGTAGAGCACGTTGTCCTCGTTGATCTCCCCCTTCTGCTGCGCCTCCAGGATGTGATCAATGGCGCATTTGAGCCCATTGTTGTCCATGGCCTTGGTGCTCGCTAGCTTCCTGCACACACACAAGAAAGAAACACCCACCATGCGACGTGAGCAGAGGATTTCTGGTGGCTAATTGATGGAGTCTCGCTCATGGAGGAGTACTCACTTCCTCTCCTCGAGGAAGAAGTCCTTGAAGAGCTTGAGGCGGGTCTCCTTGACCTCCTCGCAGATCCTGAGGTAGCCGCGGAGGAAGGGGCGGAGGATGGGGATGAAGTCGCCGTAGTTGTACTCGAAGCTCTGCGCGAGGCGGCTGCGCTCGCCGTTGAGCGCCTTGAGGCGGAGGAACAGCGGGTCGTCCGCGCTCTCGAACCGGCGGTCGAACATGATGCGGTACACGTTGCTGTACATCATGAGCTGCAGGCGGCGGCGGCGGGGTCGGCGCGGAGGCCGTCCACCACGGCCGCGGCCTCGGCCTCCCACCCGGCGCGGTGCCGCTGCACCACCTTGCCGGTGAAGAACGGCACCGTCATGATCCGCCGCATCTTTCGCCAGTGGTCGCCGTACACGGTGAACACCATGTCCTGCCCCTTGCCGGTGAAGATGTCGAACACCACGTTGCGGGTGCGCGACCCGAACTCCACCCCCTGCGTGTGGAGCACCTCCCGCGCCAGCGGCGGCGAGGAGACCACCACCAGGTTGCGCTGCCCCATCCGGAGGAGGAAGATGTCGCCGAACCTCCGCGCCAGCGCCGCCAGGTTGCGGTGGTTGAGGTCGTCGCCGACCTGCAGCCAGTTGCCGAAGACGGGCACCGGGGTGGGGCCGGGTGGCAGGCGGAGCTTCCGGCCGCGGAGCTTGGACACGGCGATCGCGACCACGGCGGCTGCGAGGAGGCCGACGAGGAGCCTCTCCACGAAGAGGAGGTCCATGGCGACGACGACGGCCGCGTGGGAAGCGGTGGCAACTGCAATGCAAAGCGTCTCTTCACTTCACTTAACTTCACGTACTCTACTCTCAGCCGTTGGTTCGTTGTTGCTGGAGGAGCGACGCGACGCGACGCGACTGTGCGTGTTATATAGGGGAGTCGCCGTTGAAGAGTTGACGGCTGTGGGTAGGTAGGGGAGTTTGGTGGCGGAGGATTGGTTGGTTGCTAAGGCCATTCATGCGTCCCTCTCATTTGAGGAGCTCAGAGTGCCACATAAATTAAGATCACTGGTCTAAAATCTTAATCCTTCACAGTGTCACAGTGTAAGTGGCTTTAGAAGTGACTTTAATTTTTATACTTCAGTCCCTAAATTTTTTGTTTTAGTTCTAATATTTTTCGTAATTTGTGTAGAGGTCCAAAATTCACACTGAACACCCCAAAAATCTAAAAAAACAAATATATAAAATCCCCCCTCACCTCCCCCCTCTCTCCCTTTTCCTCTCCCTACACCGGCAGTCCGGCTTCGGCTATCTCGCCGGCGGCGCCCCTCTCCCCCTCCCCTCCTCTCTCCACCAATGTCGACACCAGTCCAAGCGTGGTCGGCGAGAGGCAGGCGGCTAGCGAGCTCCGGGTGGCGTGGTCGGCGAGCTTGACCGACACGGATCGAAGGGGCGGTGCACCCGGCAACCCCGTCTCCTCCCACGGCCAGCGCTCCTCATCATCTCCCCAACCGGCGGCCCTCCTCTCCTGGCCAACTTTCGTGGTTGAGTGGCCTTGGCGGCGGATTTGGCGGAGAAATCGACACCGGTTTGGCGGCTTGCCGGCAACGTGGTTGAGTGGCCTCGGCGGCGGGCGGGTGGGCGACGGCAGACAGACCCTAGTAGGCTCCTCTTCTCTCCCGATGCTTGTTCTCGCTTCCACTGCCATCTTGTGTTGCCAGCCTGCCGTTCTCGTTCTCCTTTCCACCGCTCTTGCACGAGAGAAAGGAAAGCACGGGAGGGGAAAAGGTGCGTGGACGCCTACGCAAAGCCACGAGTGGCGAGGCTCCGACCTCCACAACGTGGAGCTGTGCCCCTTTCCCCTCGGTCAGGCCGAAGAATGGGTGATCAGTTTTGGCTCCGTGTTCTTTACGGGGCAACGCTGACAGAGGACGTGACGTCGGATATTCCGTTCCTAGCGCTCAACGACACGTCCGCGCATTATGAATGATCTAATAACATTTGGTGATCTTGAGAAACGACGTGAACTGTGACGGCGTTAGGTGAGTGAGCCATGGTGGTGGTGCTGCAGCGTGCAAGCGCGCGGCAGTACACGCACGGTGGACGGTGTGCGAGTGCGTGGAAATCCTGTGGCCTGCAAGGCTTCATTGTCCAGTCCTCTTCATATTTCTGGCTAGAGTTGTTGGTCCTCTAGAGCACTCGCAATGGTAAAGGAATGTGCTTTTTATAAAACATGTACATCTCAGCAATAGATTAGATTAATAGTAAACCACCTCAATAGTATGTCTATATGGGTATCTATAGCTCTCTAATGCATTGCCTCGTTTTTCTCTATAGACTATCTCTAAGTTAGTAGATAGCTTTGCTCTCTTTCTTCATTTAATCTCTTTCAAGTAGGAAAATATGCTGATATAGATATCTTGTAGAGAGCCTATAGATAACCATCGTGGGTGCTCTTAGGGTGTGTTTGAGGAGAAAGGGATTGGGGAGATTGGGAAGATACGCGAAACGAGGTGAGCCATTAGCATATGATTAATTGAGTATTAACTATTTTAAACTTCAAAAATGGATTAATATGATTTTTTAAAGCAATTTTCCTATATAATTTTTTTTAAAAAAAAACACACTGTTTAGTAGTTTGGGAAGCGTGCGCGCGGAAAACGAGATGCTTTTCTCTCTCAATCCCCCAGATCGCCCAAGAACGAACGAAGCCTTAGAGCTCATAGTGAGCTCGTATAGCTCACTATGAGCTCCAAAATATCTATAGTCAATGTAATAGCTAATTTATACAATAATTGCTTACTATACTATTAGTACCTGGTCCCATCTGTCATACACACATTATGTCTTGGAGTCCGTACTGCAGCCAGCTGCAGATCTGTAGCCCGCTGCTTTTCTCTCTCTTTTTTTATCTTTTTAAAATATGTTTATAGCTGGCTTATAGCCTACTATTGTACCTGCTCTTAGGTGATACTACCATGGTAAAAAAGCAAAAAAAGGGTTTGTTGGTGGCTGGGTAGGTGGGATGGGAGTTGGATTTTGACTTGTGTCAGTATTTTCTTCGTCCTAAAATATTACTCACTGTCCGAATTTGTTATGCTAAAAAATATTCTATCGATCAGTACCATTTTATGACCAAGATAGTAATTTTTCCGTTTTATATTATAAATTGTTTAACATTTTAGTTAAGCTTTTTAGAGTTTAACAAAGTTTATAGAAAAATATAGTAATATTTTCAACAAAACAAATATATTATCAAAATATATTCATGGTTTTGCTAGCTAGCTGTTAACAGTTTTGAATGCCGGAAACATTCGATTTTCTGGCCGTTCGATCTGGCGCCATGATTCGTGAGAGATTTGTTTGGTTGCACTGTTGCTTATATGTGATATATTTGTTTGGTTGCACAGTCACCGTCAATTATCATCTACACATAGAGCATTAATTTTTTATTGCGCTATGCAAAATAAGTTTAATTATATTACAGTTACATAGAACTTATAGACTAGTTACAGTGTGCTAATTTAAAATGGGTTATGTCGACGTTTGATGTCGCGATTCTGGTATTTGCATAGTATGGACATCGTTGGTATTAAGGTATATGCAAGACTGAAGTAAAAGAGATGGGGACGAGGGTTTTTATACAGGTTCGGGCCCTTAAATTGTCAGGTAATAACCCTATATCATGTTGGCCGAAGCCAATATTGCTCTTATTCACCATAATCACACCAGTACAATATTTGGGGTAGCCTATCTAACTGTTGTCGATATGGCGGTCTGAAGGTCTGACTCGTAGTCGACAACAGGGTAGCCTTCCTCCTCGAGTTTGTGCCCAGCGAGATCATAGACAACGCTAGATCCCTACGGCCGGCCTCTGTAGGTACCAGATAGGGTCGATCCAGGCATATCTCTGATGTCGATATCCGACGGCTTGTCTTGGCGTATGTTGGCTTGTGGCTTTGTGGCGTCTATGTTGTCCGTGTCCCCTCTCCTCCTAGGGGGTCTTGTATTTATACCCATAGGTGTCCCCTTGTCCAAGTAGAACTAGGGAAACCAATATGGATACAATCCAAGTAGTCCTTGTCGTTTCCACGTAGAACTCTGGTTGTCTTTTCTTATCCGGAGCTCCTCCTATATCCGCAAGTTGTTTCTGTATAGGACATGGTATGTGGTGGGTCCTGCCGAGATTTAGTCAACTACTATTAGGTATGTGGTATTCATAACCCTGACAAGTTAGTTCAGGGTTTCTTAACAGGTCTGCACGCTCTAAACGGATTGGTTTCGTGCTTTCAGTTGGTTCAGACCCGTTTCGTGTGGCCCATTGATTGCAGATTGTGAGGTGCAAAAAATTCGAAAGTTTTCACTATTAAAAACTGTCGACAGCTGAATAGCTAGTCCCACATATTTAATGTTAGATTTAGTGAAACTAAATCGATATTTTAGATGTTGCTAAACTTTTCTATAAACTTAAGCCCCTTCGATCTCTGAGTTGAGAGACAGATTTTCAGCGCACGCAAAACGAGAAAGCTCATTAGCATATGATTAATTAAGTATTAATTATTATAAAATTGAAAAATGGGTTTATTTGAATTCCTTAGACAACTTCTACGTAGAAACATTTTGTCAAAAAGCACCATTTAATAATTTAAAAAGCATGTTAACGGAAAACGAGGAGTTGAGAAAAAGAACTGGGCCTTAGTCAAACTTTGCTAAGTTTGACTTAAAAAATAGTCAAATGACTTATAATATAAAACAAAGAAAGTATTTGGTGGAGTTTGTCTTCTCGATCGCTCGTTGGGGATATGTCGAACAATTTTGATGGCAAGTGGAAGAGCAAGCGTGTCATCTTTTCATTTATGCTTATGGTTATCAGCCAATTCTTGAATTTTCAACCTTAAATTTGGAGCTGATTTTGGGGGTTTTTTTATCAAAGTTTATTTTTCAGCATTTACTTTTATACCGCTAAGAACACAAATATAAAAATTTTATTTATAAATTATTTTTCGTTTATAAATATCAATAGTGTCGTTAGTATGAGCGTGTAACTCATGTATGCAAGTATGTCTCCCAACAGGAGATAGGTAGCGTACAAAACTTCACGTTGTAGCTAGGAAAGCAAGCAAGTGGCGACGCGAAACAGCCACACGTACGGTCACTAGTGCACTGCTTGTCTTCCTGCAGCATCGCGAAAGGATTTCGTGAGAACCTTGCGCGCACAGGTCTGGCTGCTGGCTGCATCGAACCGAACGAACAAGCCGAGCACGTACAGCCGCCTGTTTGGCTGTTTCACGTAAGATCGTGCCGGTTTCCTCCTGACCTTGACGGACGTGAGACGTACGATTGGGTTACGCAAACGAAAACATTATGGAGTTTAAGTTTTTTTTTTCGATTTTCCTTATAAACTGGATCAACTCTCTTCTTCTATACTGAAATTGCAGGAGCTCCCTACCTATCCCTAAAAAATCATTTTAGAGGTTTCTCGCGCAAACTCGCTGATGCACATGGGCACACGGCATGCATCGATCAGGTTGATGTAGGGCCGGTTTAGATTGTATACGAAATAAACCTTACCAGCGGCGGAGCCAAGGTCCGGCCAGCACAGGCAGACGCCCGGGCTCCGCCGCATGCATTCAAGCATTAGAACTAACTATGGTGCTTAGCCATTAGCCTAGCTGTACTTGCACCATTAGATTAGCACTAATTATCATACTCAGTCATTAACTAATCGCTCAATTTTACTTCTATCCATGATAAAATGCTACATGTATTTGTGTTTACGTGTTAATTTGTTTTCTATTGTTAGGTTTGCCTCGGCTAAAAAAAAAAGTTCTAGATCCACCACTGAACCTTACCAAATTTTGATAAAGTTGTCAAATATATATATCCATTTAGTTTTTTTATCAAACTTTGAAAAATACATAAGAAATTTTGTCAAAACTTAACAATATTATTAAATTGCTAAATTTTGATAGGATTTATTTTGGCTACAATCTAAATAGGTCCGTAGTTTTTTATACGTAGGGAGTAGAGCCGGCCGCGGCGGCCGGTACACCATGATTTTTCCTGTTCCTTTGCTCCATGTGGGAATTGCTCTGCCTGTCTGCTTGCACTTCAAGCCTGCAACTGCGATGCACGGTAACGTGTACTAGAGATACACCCACCGTTGGATCCGAAAACCAGTGGCCTGGATAAGTTTGATATGCTGCCGTGAAACCGGGACACAGCGGGTAGCAGGAAAAAAATTTTGGTGGAGACCGGATGCAAACCGGTGGCTGTGGAGCCCTGGCCCGGATGAATGCCACGTGGATTACATTTGGATCGGACGGCGCTCCCCGCGGGGCTCCAGGCGGCGTGACTTGGACACAGACGTCGGCTAACTCGGTTCGGCTCGCACGCCTCTATCGGCTCCGCAGAGCAGCGGTCCTTCCGCATTTGCCGTCGCCGCCGCGGCGCCGCCTTTCTAATTAAGCTCTCTCGTCCTCATCCACATCGTTCCCCTTGTAGCTGCCCCCTCGTCGGCGTCGATCAAGGCTGGGAAGATCTCTGCCGGAGACGCCGGCGACCAGAGGAGCTTGGTTATCTAGAGATAGAAGTGATTGGCTGATTGCAATTCACAGCCTGTTGCCGGCGAAAAACACATTCCGCTAGACTTTCTTTTTGGCCATGGATCGCACTAGCGCATACATAATTCAAAGCCTTGGCGTGCAAATTCAACAAGACCTGCAAACAATGTGTTGATTTCTGAACATTTGCACTGCACGTTTCTGAACATTTCTGAAGATCTGTACGTTCATTCGGTCTTTTTACCTTTTTTTTCATAGAAACTCCATGCACGCTTGTCTTTTTCTCTAGAACATGGAAATATGATAAATGTGAACGTCCAGAAACGATGATATTGAACAAAGCCAAATAAAAGAGATGGTCTGCTATGATCGCTGCTCACAACTGCACTTGTGGTAATGCTGTGTTCTTTCAGGATTGCTGCTACCCCTGTACCCAATATATCTTGCAGAAATGAACCTCAGACAAACAATCACAATCTTTTTTACACATCAATTCATCACATTCTAGATTTCAGAACACCAAAGATGCCGTATACTAATTCATAAGCCTTTGTCATTGCTGCAAACAGTCTACCCAGTGTGACTGTGTGAGCGATACATCATACACCCCATCACTTTTAGCAAGACTGAGGTCCGAGGAACTAATTTGGTTAAACAATAGCAGAATTGCAGAAACCAACACCCCAACATTTTGATGAAAGACAGAAAGACACGGGCAAATGATCAGACATAGCAACTACTACTTTTCTTAGTTGCTTGAATGGTGCTCCACTTGCATTGACCCGATTTCCGGCGACGCGTTGCATTGCAGTCCAGATGCCGGTTCTTCCAGAGCCTTCTGCTCGTCCTCGCCAACCCAGCCGCTGTGGCCTTCACCGAAGACGCCCGGTGCCCGTGGCCAGGAGGGAGGCAGAGGGCACACGCCTCGTGCTCACCTTACCTGACCCAGCCGCCACCGCCGTCACCAACAGTGCCCGTAGTCAGGAGGGAGGCGTGCGGAGGGGAACACAGGGGAGGCGGCGACGACGGTAGCAGGCGAGAGAGTGTCAGGTGTCCACCTGTTCCACCTGACGATGATGTCGCTGAAGAAGAAGAAGAGAAGCTGGCTGAAGAAGAGGAGGAAAAGCTTACTGAAGATGATGGAGAAGAAGAGCAGATAACTGAAGAGGGCGAGCTGGTGGCACGCGAGGAGGATACTCAGACTAAGGAAGATGACACACAGAAGACACGTCCAGCAAGGCCCAAGAAGCCCAACCCAAAGTACCATGGCGCAAAGTGGGTGGCGTGACAACTGGCGTGCGTGAGTTGTACCCGTGAGAGAGAGTTGCGTGTGGGAGTTGGCTTGTATCGTTAAATACTGAAACGAACATGAAGAACAACGGCTTTGGCAATTTGGAGGCGAAGGCGGCGGAGGCTCAATTCTGTTGAATTGGAGCAATACAACCAATATAATTGCCATAATCCTGTGCTATTTGAGTGAATTCGAGAGAACCTAACAATCTGGTATCAGAGCCTCATCCCCGTTGTGCTAGTTCTACCGAATTCTGCTGCAAAATCCTGAGGGAGGATTGGGATTTTTCTTCGGATTAATCCCGCGAAAAGGCAACTTGCCTCCCCTAGGTTAGCGGAATTTGGTCTAGCCCTAACACCGAGACTCGGAGATGGCGCAGGATAGCAGCAAGCTGGATCTGCTGCTGAAAATGGTGGAGGAGAACGAGAAGAAGCGCGTGGTGGCGGATGAGCGCACTAGGGCGGAGTATCTGGAGCTCAAGAAGATGGTGGAATCTAGAATTCCAGCCGTGGAGAGGAAGGTCGAGGATATCGGAGAAGCTTTCCAGGCGATGAATACCAAAGTGGATCTGATCGAGAGCACTCTTCAGCGGCAAATCAAGACTGAGAAGACATCGGGTGGCAATGGGAAGATTGGGACCGCTTCGGGGCCATCATCTCCAAAGTTCTCCGGTACGCCCGATTCCAATCTCTTTCCCCATGCCCACTATTCCCTTGATCTTGGCCATAAGCAATTGGATGTTGATCTTGGAGCTGTGGGGTTCAGTGGTGCTGTGCCGCCAATGTTGTGCCCTCAATTTAGTGGTGATAGTCCTCAAATGTGGCGAGCTAACTGTGAGCAATACTTTGATCTGTATGGGATTTTGCCTGCCAATTGGGTAAAAATTGCTACTCTCAATTTTGTGGGCAACGCTGCTTTTTGGTTACAATCTGTCAGAACACAACTTGGGGGAATTTCCTGGCCGGACCTATGTGAGATAGTGTGTAATCGCTTTGCTAGAGACAGAAAAAGAGAACTGATCAGGCAGTGGATTCATTTGAATCAAACTGGGACTGTTAGTGAATATGTGGAAAAATTTGATAATCTTATGCACCAGCTGATGGCCTATGGCAACTCTGACATACCAGACTATTTTGTGACCAAATTTATTGAAGGGTTAAGAGATGATATCAGAACTGTAGTGATGGTACAGAAACCCCCTGATTTAGATGCAGCCTGTTCTGTGGCCTTACTTCTGGAGGAGGCATTAGAGGGTTGTAAGTCTCTGTCATACAAGAAATCTGACCTAATTGTGGGAACCAGACCCCAACGACCAATCTCTTCTTCTAACAATAGAACACTCAGTATCACCAATTCTGAAGATAGGAGAGGAACTGATGCAGCTAGGGCAAGAGATGACAAGTTGGCAGCTCTTAAAGCATATAGGAGATCTAAGGGGTTGTGTTTTACTTGTGGTGAAAGATGGGGAAAAGAACATAAATGTGCCACCACCATTCAGTTGCATGTAGTAGAAGAACTTCTGGAAGCTGTGTCAGTAGAAGCTGTGTTTGAAACTGATGATGAAAATGACACCAAGGAGACACTTATGGCTATATCTCAGCAAGCTATGTGGGGGATAGAATCCAGTAAATCAATCAAATTAAGGGGGTGGATTCAGGGTTTTGAATTATTGATGTTAATTGATTCTGGCAGCACTCATTCCTTTGTGGATGCTAGCATAGGACAGAAGTTATCTGGGCTCAAGCAACTTGATAATCCTGTTGCTGTTAAGATTGCTGATGGAGGGACTATGCAATGTACACAGGAAATTCCTAACTGTAACTGGTGGATGCAAGGATACAATTTCAGCAGTAATTTCAGATTGCTGTATTTGGGGGGTTATGATATTATTCTGGGAATGGACTGGCTAGAATCATACAGTCCCATGCACATTGATTGGGTACACAAATGGTTGGAGTTTCCCTATCAGGGTACAACTGTCAGGTTGCAAGGTCTGCTACCATAGAATCCCAGCTGTTCCAGTATCACTCCTGAACAATTCAATGGCATGATTAGGCAGGGATCACTGCTGTACATGGTTCATCTGGACAATATTGAATCTAGTTCTAAGACCAATATCCCAGATCCAGTGAGAGAGGTAATTACACAGTTCAAGCATCTTTTTGAAGAACCAACTGAACTTCCTCCCAGGAGAGTCTGTGATCATAACATCACACTGTTGCAGTCAGTCAGTCAGTCTCAGACCTTATAGGTACAACCCTGCATTAAAAGATGAGATAGAGAAATAGGTGGCAGACATGCTGAAATCTGGTGTAATCCAACCTAGCCACAGCCCATTTTCATCACCTGCTATTCTAGTAAGAAAGAAGGATGGAACCTGGAGAATGGTTATTGATTATAGGCAGTTGAATGACATCATTGCCAAAACTAATTACCCAGTACCAGTTATTGAGGAGCTTCTAGATGAATTGACTGGTGCCAAGTGGTTCAGTAAACTTGATCTCAGGGCAGGATATCACCAAATCAGAATGGTAGAAGGGGATGAGTATAAAACAGCTTTTCCAAACTCACCATGGTCACTTTGAGTATAGGGTTATGTCATTTGGTCTCACAAGAGCACCAGCCACCTTCCTGAAAGCTATGAATGATACCCTCAAGACAGTTATCAGGAAATGTGCTCTTGTATTCTTTGATGATATTCTCATTTACAGCCCTGATTTCAACTCTCATCTGGAACATTTAAGACAAGTTTTACAGCTTTTACATGACCATCAATGGAAAGTCAAGTTGAGCAAGTGCTCTTTTGCACAGAAACAGCTCTCCTATCTGGGCCACATAATTGGAGAAACAAGAGTCTCTACAGATCCCTCTAAAATTCAGGATATACTAGACTGGGCAGTTCCTACAACTCCTAAGAAATTGAGAGGTTTTCTTGGACTCACTGGATATTACCGCAAATTTGTGAAGAATTTTGGTTTAATTTCTAAACCCCTTACTCAGCTACTCAGGAAGCATGTTTCTTTTAAGTGGACATCTGAGACAGAACAAGCTTTTCAAGACCTCAAGAAGGCACTCTCCTCTGCACCTGTTTTAGCCCTACCAAATTTTCAATTACCCTTCACTGTGGAGACTGACGCCAGTGATTCTGGTATTGGTGCAGTGCTGACTCAAAATGGGCATCCCATAGCTTATCTAAGCAAGGCATTAGGTCCAAGAACTAGAGGGCTATCGACTTATGAGAAGGAGTGCATGGCTATACTCTTAGCAGTAGATCACTGGAGATCCTATTTGCAGCATGGGGAGTTTGTCATTCTCATTGATCATCATAGCCTGATGCATTTATCAGATCAAAGACTGCACACCCCATGGCAACACAGGGCATTGACCAAATTGCTTGGCCTCAGTTACAAGATTTGCTACAGAAAGGGTAGTTCCAACAATGCAGCTAATGCCCTGTCCAGGAAGTTTCAGGACACTGAAGAAGAAATTAATGCTGTATCAACTTGTGTACCCAGTTGGCAGCAAGAGGTAGAACAAGGGTATACTCAAGACAGTTTTACTTCTCAGTTGATTGCTGCTCTAACTCTTAACCCTGCAGCCAAACAACACTATTCTCTGCAGAATGGACTCCTGAAATACAAGAACAGAATTTGGATTGGTTCTAACTATCCCTTGCAGCTTAAAATTATATCTGAATTGCACTCCAGCCCAGTGGGAGGCCACTCTGGTTTCCCAGTTACTTACAGGAGGATTAAGCAGCTGTTTGCTTGGCAAGGCATGAAGAAAATGATTAAACAAGAATTGCAGAAGTGTCAAATCTGCTTGCAAGAAAAACCGGACAGGGCCAAGTATCCTGGCTTGTTGCAACCACTTCCTGTACCCTCAGGCGCCTGGTAAGTTATTTCCATGGACTTTATTGAAGGTCTACCAAGATCATATTCTTACAACAGCATTCTGGTGGTAGTGGATAGATATTCCAAATATGCCCATTTCATTCCACTCCACCATCCTTTTACTGCTATTATGGTAGCTAAAGCATTCATGACTAATATCTTCAAGTTGCATGGTCTTCCTACTACTATTGTCTCTGACAGAGACAAAATTTTCACCAGTCTTCTGTGGGAACAACTTTTTCTCAGGTCTGATACAAAACTACACTTTACTTCTGCATATCATCCTCAGTCAGATGGGCAAATTGAGAGAGTCAATCAATATTTGGAAATTTATCTCAGATGTTTCACTCATTCTGCCCCCACTAAATGGTCCACATGGCTACATTTGACTGAATTCTGGTATAATTGCTCTTATCATTCTTCTCTGAACAAGACACCTTTTGAGATCCTCTATGGTTACCCCCCAAGCCATTTTAACATTGGGTTCAGAGATTGTGCCATTCCTGATTTGGTTGTTTGGCTCAAAGACAGAGCCACAATACAACAACTGGCCCAGCAACATCTCAATAGAGCACAACAACAAATGAAATACTTTGCTGACAAAAAGAGAAGTTTCAGGGAGTTTGCAGTGGGTGACTGGGTTTACCTCAAGCTACAGCCTTATGTGCAAAGCTCAGTAGCCCCTCGTTCTAATCACAAACTAGCTTTCAAGTACTATGGACCATATCAGATCATCTCAAAAATTGGCACAGTTGCTTACAAGCTTCTTCTCCCTGTTGGAAGCAGTGTTCACCCAGTTTTTCATGTCTCATTGCTAAAGCCAGCCAAGGGATTTGACAAGCCAGTGCAAACTCACTTATCTTATGTCTCCTCTACTCCTCAATATCCTTTACATGTCCTGGATCACAGGTTGACCAGGAAGAATAATTCAACCATTATGCAAGTGCTAATTCAATGATCAGGTACTGCATCTGAACAAGCCACCTGGGAAGATCTGGAGGAGCTGAAGGCAAGGTTCCCTAAAGCAATGGCTTGGGGACAAGCCATTTCTCAAGGAGAGGGGATTGTCAGGTGTCCACCTGTTCCACCTGACGATGATGTCGCTGAAGAAGAAGAAGAGAAGCTGGCTGAAGAAGAGTAGGAAAAGCTTACTGAAGATGATGGAGAAGAAGAGCAGATAACTGAAGAGGGCGAGCTGGTGGCACGCGAGGAGGATACTCAGACTAAGGAAGATGACGCACAGAAGACACGTCTAGCAAGGCCCAAGAAGCCCAACCCAAAGTACCATGGCGCAGAGTGGGTGGCGTGACAACTGGCGTGCGTGAGTTGTACCCGTGAGAGAGAGTTGCGTGTGGGAGTTGGCTTGTATCGTTAAATACTGAAACGAATACGAAGAACAACGGCTTTGGCAATTTGGAGGCGAAGGCGGTGGAGGCTCAATTTTGTTGAAATGGAGCAATACAACCAATATAATTGCCATAATCCTGTGCTATTTTGAGTGAATTCGAGAGAACCTAACAGAGAGGTCATCGGTTGTTGAACGGAGGGGATTATCGGCTAGCTGACGGCACCGAGAAGAGGCGATCCCGATAGATGGAGGCGAGATAGGGAAGGAAATCGCAGCGGCGGCGGCGGCGGGGGAAAGAAAAGTGGAAGAAAAGGACAGGAGTGAGGCGCTGATGAGCCCGTCCATTCCTCATGCTCGGCTCGATGCGCTTTTGGTTGTGGGAGTCGACACGAGCGAGCCGAGTTGAGCCTTCTCCTAGAGCGGATGGAGCCGCGCAAGGGCGCCGTCGGATTGCTCGCCCGTCCACGCGTCGCCCATCTAAGTCGGGTATACACGGTGCGGGTTTTGCAGCCGGTCTGCACATAATTTTTTTCCGTAGCGAAGGTCGCCTGCGATTCGGCAGATTATGGGATTTTTTTTAATTTTATTTATTAGAATATTTTTTTTAAAAAAATATGGTTTCAAAGTTTTCCAAATCGGTAAATCTAATTGGAGAGGCCTCTCCAATTAGTCTTAACCAGAGACACCCACGTGCTAGTACTTTAGGAGTTTTGGTTGCTATTAATCGATTGAGCAAGTAGGGGAAATATTCCTATCATCTATGCTTCAAATAAAGTTTTCTCTTAAATTACTCATCCGATTTACAATCCGATTACACCGTTGTGTTCGTAATAATTAAATCTTTACAACAAGATCTCACATGATTATATTTTGATGAAAAATCACAAATTACTTTTATGATATGTCTAAATTACTTTTAGATTTCACTAAGTTACTTCTTAGACATATAAAAGTAAATTCAGTAAAGCCTAAAAGTAATTACATATATTATAGCAGTAACTTATAACAAAAGAAAGTAACTTTAATTAATGTCTTTTTTCATTGAACAAATTATCATATATATATATGAGTTACTTTTTCAAATACTTCCTATACATTCATAATGCTCTGAGGTGATTACTTTTATTATTATTTTAGTTAATTCCATAATTTGTGTTGATTATTTTAATTTATAGATAGAGTCATGTTTTTATCTCTACAACGGATTTACTTCAAATGACATGTTAAAGTTACCTTCGTTTTGTTCTAAGTTACTTCTATAATATATGTAAATTACTTTTAGGTTTTACTGAATTTACTTTTATATATCTAAAAAGTAACTTAGTGAAATCTAAAAGTAATTTAGACATATCATAAAAGTAATTTGTGATTTTTCATCAAAATATAATCATGTGAGATCTTGTTGTAAAGATTTAATTGTTACGAACACAACGGTGTAATCGATCGTAGATCGGATGAGTAGTTTAAGAGAAAATTGTATTTGAAGTATAGGTGGATGGTGCCTCTTAGATGGAGTGGTAGCTGGTTTAGCTAACACTAGCTGTATAGTTACGTCCTTTACAAATCTACTCCTTTTTTTTAAAAAAAAACATGGCGTTTTTATGACGTGGCACACGTTACTGCCCGATGACCAAGAAGAAACATATAGCCCATGCCAACTAAATATGGGCTCACGGTCCAACCGGTTAAGTAGATTCAGCCCATCTGGATCATAAGCGACGTGGCGTGGCACACGTCGGGGTGGGCCAAAATAAAGCGCAAGGAGAGCCCACGAGATCTCCAACCATCGAATCCTTCCCACATACGCTACGCGGGCAAGACGGCGAGGCGGCGGGGCGCCGACGGGGTCGTCGGGAGGAAGGCGATGGCGAGGACGCGGCTGGAGGAGGGGAATCCATGCGGCGCCGGCGACGAGGGGGATCGTTCAGGCGCGGCGCACCGGCCAATGCAGCCGCCGCAGGAGGGGGGGGGGGGGTTCCTTGTTGCAGGTTCTTACTCCTCCGTCTCGGTTCCAGTTCTGTTTAGCCTAGCCCAGCACTGACCTTGCCGGTTCTGGCCCAAAGCTTGCCCCGCTTTAGCAACTTCGATTCCCAAAATTTTAGCCCAGAGATTGTTGTTAGCCAGCATCGATGGTTGATGCTGAAAACCTAGATGGAATTTCCATGTCATGCTTATGCCACCAGGAAACAGGAGATCGAGGATAACGAACTATGTGTTTTATTACTGCTTCGTCCGTGGTGAGGGGTTTTTGGAGGTGCGAAAATGTTCATCTCTCCGTGGGAATTCAACTGTTTCTCTGAAATTTCTTGTGAAATTTCTGCATTTTTAATGGAAATCTTTACTAGTCATACAAATTCATGATGTCCAAACAGTTGTACTGCAAACAGTTTACAGTTGTACTACTTTACGATGCTCAGAACTCAGAATATTGTCGCTTTGTCAAAAACTTCTTGATGAAGTATGCCTTCAATGTCCAAACAGATGTAGATTAGCCCGCAAGATGCTGCACCCTGGAGCTGATCTAGTTAGTCATGGTCTGCGTTGCACTGTGGAGCTTATTTTAGGAATGGTGCGTCTTCTGTACCTCTTTTCTTTAGAAAATCATAGAATCACTTTCTTCTCAAATTAAGAAAATCATATATGGAATCGCTATCATCTCAAATACTGTCATGGTATAAACAATGACGATTTACCAATGAGCTCGTGGAATGATGTGTCACTTGACTGTATTTCAAATCGTGTGATTGCCCTGTGCCATGAAAGTTTCTAACTGTCGGTTTGTCACTTGTGCTAGAGGATTACTCCGTACTGCTTGCTGGGAAGTTTCTCGTATTTTGATTGTGGAGTAGCAATCTGGACTTTGGAGATACCGTGTTGGTCATCAATGAAAGTTGTACGGCAAAATTCAGCAATCCCACTTCCTGGGGCTCTCTTTTCAGAAAAGCTATCTGAAAGCATGATCAGGATGTACAACTTTTGACTTATTCGAAATGGACTCTCGTATTAGCTTCATCACCGTGCTCACATCACCTGAAACATGTAAGGATGCTGTCACCCTCTGTTCTGCTTTTGCATTTTTAAAAATTAAAAATTCTGATTGTAATATCAATTGAGATCCGAATGGACCTATTTATTGTATACAATGAACACCTGATCCCTGAAAGGACAATTTTTAACTACTTTGCATTTTTGACTCGGGATTCAAACATAATTGAAATAGTGTGAACCGTGTTATTATGATTGATTTAAGCGAAAGGCTGACAATACAAATGAGTAATCCTTTACTTGAGCTTCACACTAACTGTTGATTGATCAAAAGATGGTCAAATAGAGTATAGTTGACTATGACTGGTACATTGAAGAAGACAGCTACCCAGGATATGTTTCATTAGTGGTACCTTTGCATACTGTTTTCAAAAGGTCATAGATCCCACATCAAGAAATTTCCACACACCAGCCATACAATATGAATCACATTTCACTTAATATATACATTTTTAGTTAACGAACAATATGGGTGGGCTCACTGTTTTTAATTGATAATCAGCTCATGCTCATCAGTGCACTTATGTAGATAAATATCAAAATAAATAATTTGCCACTTTACTTTTCACTGTTGCAAATTTCACCTTTGGGTGTTGGTAACATTTTTCCCATGTGATGTTAAATACTCCCTCGATTTCATATTATAAGACTTTCTAGCATTGCCCACATTCATATAGATGTTAATGAATCTATACACATATATGTCTAGATTCATTAGCATCTATATGAATGTGAACAATGCTAGAAAGTCTTATAATATGAAACGGAGGAAGTACTTACTACCGTTAATACTAAATATTGTAATGTCATTTTGGGTGATGAAACCTAACGTATGAGAAGGAAGATCTAAGAGTTCAGACAGTGTAGTTCCATTATAAAATTGAAATCTAGTATTGTGATAGCTGTCGTGTCTAAAATATGATTCGTTTTATTTATTGGAGTATTAACTATATGATCAATGCTATCGACAACAATATTGTATTATCCTTCTACTTATTTAGATTGAATCATGCTAGCTAAAACGGGTTTTTATGCAATAAACTGATAACTGATAATAATAGCCATTCAGCCTTGATTTATTGGTAGGAGACAGGACAGGACTACTACTTCATCGTAGTTGTATGTACACAGTACCATTCTTTTTCACCTGAAGCTAGCTCCATTTGCATTAGTAAATTACTTTTGCCTAGATAATATATATATACTACCTCTGTCCCAATATAAGGATTTTTAGGGGTGTACACAATTATTAAGAAAGTAGGTAGAATTAAATGAGGGAGAGTTATGATCCGATGAGAAATGGAGGTGTGCGGGGAAATTGAATGGTAGAGGATTATGATTAGTTGGGAAGAGAATGTTGGTGGTGAAGTTGTTATATTTTAGAATAAATTGGACTATTAACTTATAATAATAACCATTCGGCCTTGATTTGTAGGAGACATAATACTACTAGTCCACTGAAGTTGTGTAGATCACCAATTGTTTTCCTTAAGCCTGAAGCTTTGCTCCCTCCGTATTAATGAACTACTTTTGTAACTAAACATTCCCAGTATTTGGGGCCCTGTGTTCACGTGGTCATATGCACACATATACATAGGTGTTAATTATTTGTGTACCTACAAGGAAAGCAAACACCTAACTATTTTTTTTAGACAAACAAACACCTAACTATTCAAAAGCAAAAAGGAAGAATAAGTTGTCCCCACAATGATGAGAACCATATTCCCGAAACAATGATGAGAACCAAGAAACCGAGAAGGTTAAACTTAGATTTTGTAGTACTCCTACATATAAATTTTGGATATAAAGTTAGAATTAGATCCTGTTCATGTCTCTAATCTAATTGCATCTCAACCTTTCAGGTCCTGTTTGTTCTCAAACCTGAAATTGAAATTTTGAATCAAACCAATCTGGAGGCATTTTCATATATAAGTTTGCAGCAGACTGACAGGTTACTGTTTGGATATCAAATCCATCAATCCAATATATAAACACATATAGTGTTCTTTCCCCCTATATGTGTGCACATATAAACCGATATATATCAGAATCTCCGGAACATGGCTAAACCTTGATACTGGTATCACTGACAGGTAGGGCTATCGTTTCTTTGACTGGATTTGTCACCTCAGGAGACTTGAACATTGTCCATGCGTATCACGTTGCATAGGTCAGTGAAGTTTGCAAGTGCAGATACCGCGTTGTGTGAGTTAAAATTTAAAATTCTGGAAGCAAAGCACGCACCTACTCCAGGTTGTGCAGAGGATTTATATGAGCGCACAGTCGCACACTTCTCCGCAGCACTAGACAAGGAGAATAAACTCATCATCCCCATTAATTTCAGGCCGGCGAGGAGTTCAGCACTTACTGTGGGAATCCGACTGATCGACGTTCAGCAACTTCAAGGTATCTTGCAAGCACCAACTTGCATATCACGTCGACCTGTTTCAGAAGGTTGCAAGAGACCACCATGGTTAAGAGGAGCGACAACATGGACAGCTCCAGTGAATGTTCTAGAGGAGCCCATAAAAGGCTTCTGCAGGACAGTAGGAGCTATGACCAGGAGAACGCTATGAAGTAAGTTAATCCATGCATATATATATGTATAACAATAGCTAGCCATTCATTTCACTGGTTTTGCACGCGCTTAAACTGAGTTAATTCTTAATTGTTGCGTATTTCGATGAAATTGTAATTGAGTTGCGATTGATGGAGCTAATGAATTCGTCTGGTCGTTGGTGCTTGCTGCAAACGATGTTTGTAGTTAGTTCCTATTGCATGTAATATTCCTCTTCGATCTTTTGGTGCATTTATTTAAATGTTTAAGTAATTAGCGTTAATTTCCTCAAATAGAAAGGTTTGCATCGGAACAAGAACTGAGTACACATATGCACCATATCATGATGGGTACCAGTGGAGAAAATACGGGCAAAAGATGATCCGGGGCAACTCCTTCCCAAGGTACATGCACTACTCAATTACCTGTAGTTCTTTAATCAACATTTGTCTGTTATGGGGAATAATTGGCCAAATTTTGAACAATCAAAATGTTGGATAATGGGGTAGTAGATGCCACTAGTGTAATTTATACAGTGTCAGACTTGATGGCAAAGACGAATTGTAAGCTTATGCACTTGCAAGGAATTCAAATGGGTTGGAAAACCAGCTTGTACTGAACTCTCTATATTGCAAGAATGAAAGGTGAAATGTAGTAAAAAGATATTTGTAGGCTCAGTAGAACTAATCCATGTAGATGACCCAGCTGGGCTACACTCTGGTTCAGGATTTCACATAATATATAAGCTCCTTAATTTACACTCTGGTTCAGGATTTCACATAATATAAGCTCCTTAATTATAAGCATGATGAGGGTGTTTAATTATTATAAAGGTTGTTGTTTAACTCTTAACTGATCGAACTCATACCCACATGTATACCAATACAAAATAATATTGAAACACACACTGTATGTAAATAGGGTGCTTCCCTTATCAGTTAAGTTCATTGGATTGATCTCATTGCAAGGTTTCCATATTAGTTAAGTGCATGTGATTAATCCCGTTTGAAGGCTTAAGGAACTTAATAATTGTGTCTATCCGGAAAGCTGGCTTTCTGGTTGCATTCATATATATAGTTTAATGGGAAGTGTGTTTCAAGCAAAAAGATATCTTGTTCATGTGCAGTTTATTAAATTGTGCCGTCCATCTTCCCAGTAGCTACCCTCGCATCACATTGTATTGTTTGCCTTTAGGCTGTCGTGTATCCAAAAATCACATGCTTGAATGGGAGCAACTTCTAAGAAGCACAATAATCCAAATAGGGAAAAATAGAACCAAGAACTATAATACGTCGACAGAATTGTCATGGTACATGCTCTCCTGTGCTCCACTGGGGGTTGTTTAGTAGTCCAAAAGATGCCTATTAGTTTCCTAATAATTAACATGCACGAACTGAGGATTAGATATTTAAATGATCCAACTCAACTTGCCTTTGATTACACCAAGCTTTTGATTTGTTTTGTTTGCTATGATAGATTTTCTAACGTACCATACTTATGAATCGAACAAGGAATTGGTGCAACATCCATGTACTAGCAATATATGCCATGGGAATTTTCAGGGATAGTTGAAGGTTTCATTGTACCTGCAATGTTGTATAAGGAACATGTTTGTTCTACTTGTGGCTGCGTTACAGCTGCAGCAACAGTATATATCCACACTAAAAAAAAATGAACTACGGCTGTGCTTCCGTAGTTAGCACAAACGATCAGAACCTAAGTAATTCAATCTTGGCGAAAATCATATTATGATTTTAATTTAAACCCGACACAATCAAATTTATATATAATTTCTTGCTCCGAATAATCCTCAAGTTGTTACTGGATAACGGTGCCTACCCCGTAGACCATGTTGTCTGAATATTAGTTTAAATTTCTTTTCCTTTATAATAGATGCCTATTACTCATTTATGGGAAGCAGCTTAATTTGTTTACACCCTGCCGCAATTTCTGATAGGGGTCACTTTTTGCATGGGATTAATTCATCTTTTTTTGGGGAAGACTTGGGTTTTATCATGGGATTAATTCAGCTTTTTGCATGATATTTCAAATCACATTTTGATTTGGGGATATTATTCAATATAATTTTAACTGAAACCTCTTGAACTGAGAGAAATGAAGGAATGCTCCCAACGCAAATATCAATTCACAGGCGCGCTATGCACTTACCATCAGACAATAATTGTTCCTTTATTAGTTTTTTTTTATTTTAGAGATACACTTGATAGTGTAGTGGCAAGGGGTGTGTTGATTCAACTCTAAAGCCTCGTGTTCAATCTCTAACATGCTCACAATTTATTCTTAAAAAAAATATTTGGAGGGACATCTCTCCTTCCAAATCTCATTCTTTTTTAGTTTTTTTTATTTCTAGAGCATTGTATGCTCTACACGGTGTGCAATGAAGGGCAAACTGCACGGTTTGGGAGATGGATTCTAGTAGGTCGAGTGGACATCTACCCGTTTATTGCATGTCAAATAGATGGTTACGAAAAATTTTCAAAAAAATTGACAAGATAGATCAATATGTAATATATCACTCCACAAACATGCAAGTTCAAATTTAACTTCTACAAGTTGTAACAAAAATAACAAATTTAATTGTAAATATACATATAGTAATTTGAGTTTTGTTTGTTATTTTTGTTACAATTTGTAGAAGTTGAATTTTAACTTGCATGTTTGTGAATTGATATATTACATATTGATCTATCTTATTCATATTTTTTCAATTTTTTCATAGCCATTTAGATGACATACAGTAAACGGGTGGACGTCCACTCGAACTGTTAAAACAGTTTCCCGTCTGACAAGATAACTAAACTAGATTTGCATGTCTCAGGCTCCCTGCCGATTATGTAATGTAGACCACGGTATATTGTATACACTAATTGAGGCTAAACGTTTTGATTCATAATATGATGTACTAAGACGTAAATAGTCCATCATTAATTAACTGGAACTACTATATATACAATTTGATGAGGATATATACTAGACCCCTTGGTGTTGGGGGCATGTGGTGTATGTATCGATCCCATACCTGGGGATACCATCCCCCACATTGTGCTATCCCAAAGCATGCTTGCATGGGAATACTCCTTTGGGGCTAATAATGCATGTCGGCATGGTTAAACAATTACGAGATAAGTGTTGTACAATGCCAAATATTGTCATGTGTCAAAGTTTCTGGCTACCACATGCATGTCGACGGCCCTCTTTTCTTAGCATTCTTCCTTCAAGGAATGCAAAAGTGAGCACTAAACAACTGTAATACTAATTAAGCATCATATATTATTGCTTGCAAATGCAGGTGCTACTACAGGTGCACGTACCATCAGGACCATGGCTGTCCAGCGAGCAAGCACGTGGAGCAGCACAACTCGGAGGACCCGCCTTTGTTCCGGGTGATCTACACCAACGAGCACACATGCGGCACCAGCAATTCTGCCTCCGATTACATGGCTTCCTCCATGCAAATCCAGCAGATTGCCGACGCCTCCTTGAGAAAGGCACAGGCGGCGGAAAGACTGAGAAAGGCAGAGGTGGAAACACCTCGCCTGATGCATTCTCCTCCTCCTCGCTGCAGCGGCGGCTACAACATGGCGATGAAAGAAGAGAAGGATGTGATCGTCTCCTCGCTGCTCACCGTCATCAGAGGCTGTCACATTGCAGAATCAGCTGGTAATAATAGCGCCGCTGCTTTGCCGGTAAACAGGCCGCCGCCGGCGGTGGCCAGAAGCGACCATTACAGCTGCAGCTATGCGATTTCGCCTGAATTGTTGCCGGCGTCCGACGACCTGACACTGGACTTCATGCTGGATTCAGTACTGGATCCCCACTGGGTCGAGCCTCTGGATTTGGCTTGGCTCAAAGAATCCACGCACACTGGTTGAGTGGAATTAATTCATTGGCATACTAAAAAGGGTCTTTGCTTTTGGTCTAGCTTTTCATAAAAGAAAGTATATTATATCCACTTTTGCAGAAAATATACATGTCGATCTAGTGTATATATGCACAGCTCTTTTTTTAGCTAAATTTAATATACTATATATACCATATGAATGATAAAGGAGGGTATGTGCAGTAAGCTTTAAGCATAGCTGCATATATGCAGCAACGTTTTGATTTAGTTTTCTCTTATACTCCTAAAATCGCTCTTTGATTTAAGATTCCTGATTACCATACTTGTTAATCTTCAGTAAAAAAAATTATGGTGCCACAATCAGCATTTATTATGAGCAGTATTGTAAAGTAATATATGATGCGGTTAACTTCTAGATATGAAATTTGAGCATTCGTCTTACTCCCTCCGTTTCATCATACTATAAATCACCTTGATTTTGATTTTTTCTAGTCAACTTTTTTTTTAGTTTTACTAAGTTTATAGAAAAAAATAGAAATATATATTATTAAAATATATTAACTATTAGTTTTAATAAAACTAATAGAGTTATAAATGTTGGCAAATATTTCTATGAGCTTGATCAAACTTAAAAAAAGTTTGATTAAAAAAAAATCAAAACGACTTATAATATAAAATGGATATAAATGGAGTGAATACTAAACAAACTAAGTATCGTATGTATGGCATTCGAGTATTCGTCTTACTAAACAAACTAAGTATCATTTCTTGTTATTTTATTACTTAAGGTATTTTAAACCTGACTTGTATTTTTACATATATTTATATTAAGTTTTAAAATAAAATAAATAATTAAACATAATATCTACTCACTCCGATTTAAAATAAACAAATCTTGTATGGATTTGTTTATATTGAAATAGAGTAGGGATGAAAACGGAGCGGATAGTTTCCGTCCGCTTCGGATAAAAACAAATACGGATACCTTTCGGATCGGATAATTCTCGGATAGTATGGATACGAATACGGATATTTTCTCTCGGATATGAATACGAATATGGTATCAGGGTTTCCGTCGGATACGGATAATAATTCAGATATCCGGTGAACAGTGCTATTCGGATATGCACAGAAGCCACAAGACATACCCTATTTCTTTATAACTCTATGACCTTCAATGTACCTTTTTAGATTTTAATAGTAGTTCATCTCTTAACACTAGTCCACATTATTAATATTATTTAAAATTTTAAAAATATTTATAAATTATACTATATTTTATATAAAATGAGCTAATTATATATGTTGATATTTGTTTCTATTAGAAGTTGAACTGGTTTTCGTGTTCCGAGAAAAATTTGTTTCCGTATTCGTGTCCGATCATATTCGATTCTTATTCGTATTCGAGATAGTCCATATTTGTTTCCGTATTCGAGCTATCCGTATTCTTTTCCGTATCCGACAAAAAATATGAAAACGAATATGATACGAGCATTATCCGTCCGTATCCGCTCCATTTTCATCCGTAAAACAGAGGGAGTAACAATGTTATATTTGAAGACAAAGGAATATCAAGAACTCCCTTCGTCTCATAAAAAATAAATATAATACGGGATGTGACATCCTATTATTACGAATTTGATAAGAGGTCTACCTAGATTCATAGTCCTAGAATCTGTTCAGATTTATAATGTTAGAATGTATCACATTTCATATTAGATTATATATTTTGTATAATATTTTTTTAAAGGGAAGAAGTGAGCATTACTATATTTCTTTTTTGTTAGCTGTCTTGGTTTTTGAGCCGCCATGACTTTGTCCTGGTCACAAAGGCCAGTGATGCAATGGCCGCTAGATCCGCGCCTGAACTATCCTTGGCAGGATTTGGAGAAAGGGCAACAAATTTTGTTTATGCGTGCTGCCACTTGCCACTGGCGTTTTCTCCAGGGGAACCTGTCCCTGCTCCCAAAATCACGTGCGGTTTTCCCTTAATTAGATTTAAAGTAGCACCTGCCAATGCGCTGTCACACTGACCATTAACTAATCCTCGTCGGCATCGACACCTTGCCACTTGAGCTTTAATCATATTTGCTCTTTTTCTGCAGCCCCCAGTCGATAAGCTAAGTTAGCAATCAGATTAGCTTAGCAACTTGGATCAAATAAAGTACTAGTAGATGCTTGTACTCGTCAGTCGTCACTAGATGTGTCTCCAACCTCTTGGCCCCATCCCAGCAGCCAAGCTCTCAGCATTGCTCCCCGGCAAGTGTTGCCAGTCTGTCTTATTTTTTGAACGACTCGGTGCGAAATTCTATTAATAGAACAGGAAAAAAAACAAGATTACACACCAGGAAAAATAAATATACCACCACTCACATATCGATAGCGTTCAACCACAAGTATTGGAGAAGACTAGCACCAGACCGGCCGCCGCTAAGTGAGACCGACTGCCGCTAAGCCAACAACGGAAACAACCGAGATCGCTCAAAACCTTACCCTTACAAACAACACAAAGCTCAACTCTATCCACGTCTTCAGGATTTAGAGAGAGAGAGAGAGGGTGAGAGAGAAGATGGAACACCTCTCCCCCCTAGGCCATCTGCCATGGCCAACTTGTAGAAACTAGGATGCCGCCACAAGAGGAAGAAATCTAGAGCACGTTTGCGCCAAAAGTTCAGGTGGTTTTGATAAGGGGATGTCTAGACAACGTCTCCAAGGAGAGAACGACGGAAACACCACCGTCGCCGTCCGCCAAGGTCTCAAGAGAGCCGAGACTAAGCTTTCGCCCAGCAACCACCCTTAAGGGGTAAGACGGCACGACAACACCCTCAGGAGGGGAATGACACTTGAGCATCATCGGTCATCGGTTGTCGGTCCGGCCGGGGTCGGGTTGGGTTTTCACCCACCGTCCACCACCTACCAATCTACCACAGCTCCATTGCTCCACCGCCATCAAAACCTCTGCCGGTGTGTGGGTACACTGCACCGGCGCCCCCGCCGGCCAGTCTCCGCATGCAGCCACCTCACCGGGCTCTGCCTCCACCGACATCACCTCTCGCTGCGCAGCCATCACGCACCGGCCGTCCTCGACGTCGCCGGCCAAGCCTACACGCGTTGGACAGTTGCCGGCCGCAACTCCTTCAGCGAGCCGACACCACCTCCGCCGTCGCGGGCTGCCGGCCGAGCCGACCTCACCGGCCAACCGCAACCACCAGTTGCTGCGCCTCCGCACGCCGTCGCCCGCGCATGTTGCCACCTCCTCTGCGAGCGCGGCCTCTTGCCCCTCCGCCACCGTCACGGTTTCCGGGGCCTCCGCACCATCGCACGTGCCTTCACCAGCCTCCGCGCCGTCGCACCGTCGCCGCCAGCCACTGCCTCCGTCGCCAATAGCGACGGCTGGATGCTCGTCGTCCGGCCAGATCCAGCCGTCGCAGAGTCGGACCTCACCCGCCACCGCGCCACCGGGCGCCACCGTCCGTCGCCAGCAGAAGACCCCGCCACCGGCCACTTACCTGCCAGATCCAGGCGCGGATCTGGTGGTCACTTCTACCACTGTCATCACTTCCAAGCGCCGGTGCCACCTTTGCCAAACGTCGCCGCCACACCGCACTACCACGCCGATGCCGCCGACATCCTCCCCGCTAGATCCGGCCGGACGGCACGGATCTGGACGGTTCCGCCGTCCCAAACGCCGAGTAGCCCCCCTGCCCTTGCGTGGTGAGAGCGAAGCCCCGCTACCGCCGTCCTTGCGGCCGCTCGGGCGGCAGCGAGGCGGAGGAGGGAGGGAGAGGCCGGCGACGGCGGCCTAGTCACCTCCCGTGTCGCCCGAGGGGGAGGGTGACGCGAGGGCCTAACAACAGTATGTCTTATTAGTTCTGAATCTCTTGGAATGTAGATGCCGGGGTTTTATTTAAGTTCATTATCTAAAAAAGTTCTAAATTTTTTATGGCTGAGAGGTTGGAGTATGATCCGGTATGTAAGCAGATGAGTTATGTAAATCCGGTATGCCGACTTATAATTAGTTTTGGAGCTCCTATCCGGCCATCGGTTAGAAAATAAAATAAAAAAACAATCAAAAGCGAATGGTAAATAAATAAGGTCCCGTTCTTTCTTCGCTGAGATACATATTTCACCTCGGTTTTCGTTAGCACATTTTTTAAATTTCTAAATATATATATTTTGTGCGAAAACTTTTTATATAGAAGTTGCTCTAAAATATCATATAAAACCTTTTTTAAGTTTAAAATAATTAAAGTTCAATTAATCATAAACTAATAGGTTTCTCATTTTGTATACTCGTAGTTAATCTTAATCCAAAGCATATTCGATGTGGTCTAAGTATTCGCTTTATCTTAACTTTTGTATATTCATAGATTCGTTTACATAAATTTAGACATGTACTACGTTTAGATTCACGTACAAAAGTTTGTTTATATTTTGAAATATATACGGTAAAACAATTGAACAATCGATGGTCGCAATAGATTTGACATTCCTTAGGAACTGTACATGTTCTCCAAATGATACTCTGCTAGCTCATGGGTTATGGCCACCTGATTGATTCCATCAGGCAGTGTGTTAATCAAGTGGCCAGGTGATCGCGAGCTGGGTCTTACACATCAGCATGACGTGAGCATAAGACGAGTGATTGCCCTGACAAGGTGCTTATGTTAACCCAACTCTCCTAATACGGCAGGTCGCAGGTTTGCATTTGTCAACTGAAAAATGAGCATTCATTATATATTCAAGAGTACTCTATATTCAATGAATCCACATGTTATGTTAGTATTTCTTGCCTCTCACCTAGGATGTGTTCCGTATAAGCAAAATTATCTTCGGAAAATGATTTTCTAGCAGGACAGCTAAGCAGCTGGCTAACAGCCAACGTACATAAGTAAGTACATCGATCGTGCAACCGCGTGCCAATATATTAAAATCTGCAGCAGCCGTACTATTTTAATCTAGGTCCACTCTTCAGATTTAATCTTAATTAATTAGGGCTGTGTTTAGTTTTTGAAATTGGGAAGAAGTTTGGGGAAAGTTGGTAGTTTGAAAAAAAAGTTAAGAGTTTATGTGAGTAGAAAAATTTTAGATGTGATGTGATACGATGGAAAGTTAAGAGTTTAGGGGAAGTTTGGTGTGAACTAAACGCCTGGGTCCTTTCGCGGGCATGCGCACACCTTTGACAATAAGTTGGATTAATTTCCTTGAATATATAATTGTACGCTTGTATACAGAACTGCAGATACGTTTTGCCTATGTTTTATATAAGGGTC